GTAATAAATATCAAAAGAATTATTTATAATCTATTGTGGCCTTTAATTTGACAATCATTATATCAACTATTGCGAAGAAAAATAATTATGCTACAAAAGTCGTTATTAAAATTTTCAGGCATATTTATTTTTGTAAAAAATGCAAACATTTTTTTGATAATTGAAGATAGCCTTATTTTGTAAGTCAATAAACTATAAATTATATGCCACAAAATTTAACCTTAAACATGCTTCGTCATTATTGAACGTCATTTTTAGAAACTGAGATTTCATAATTTCTATATGAAAGATATAATTCTGATAGAAAGAAAAAACAACATCGTATGATAAACTTAAGAACACAGTTAAGGAACTAATTGCTTTCTTTGTGGGGCAGAAATATATAAATACAATAAATTTTCACAGTTTTTAGATTAAAATCAATTTTAAACCGATCAGCTTCAAGTTAATATATCTGGCAACAATGCATACGTTTCGGGTTTATAACTAATTGTCGTAAACTAATAATAAGTTTTATATCTTTATTTGATCATATACTAAATTCAAAACTTTGCAATTTAATGTTAAATTACTGCAATTTTATAAATATTTTATAGGACGTACATTGAATATATGCAAGTCAGTTCTTATCTAGCATCTAGAGAGTTTCTTCAACAAATATAAACTTGTTTTAGAAAATGCATAAAATTTACTTCATAGCTAAAATTGCGATTGTGCAAACTGAAAGTGAAAACACAAGTATTTGCAATATAAATGCAAGCAGACTTTAACGTCTAACACTCAATTATTTGCATAGATGTTAAACCAAGAATTTGTACTATAGTTATTAGCACATTATTACTGTGATATAGTATTGCCATTTTGTTAATTTATTGGCAATTTCAATTATCCATAATTTTCAGTTTCAACAAATTGCGTATATTGAAGTTTATAGACATAAGTCGAAGCACTCGTGGAAAAGAATCTTGAGGAGTTAAACATTGTGGCTATCATATACTCAATTTACTATTTTATATTCATTTTACTACTATTATGAAATTATATTGCTTCTATAGAAATCTATACCGTAACCATTACTTAAATGCATATTGATAGGAAAATATGAAACAATGGGACTTTGAATAAAAATCACCAACAATTGAATTGTTATGAAAATTATTGGCAAGTGCAAAAATATTGATTTCCATGCATGGATGTTGAACTCTAGCTAAAACTCTAAACGAATTATTGATTGATATAATATAGTGTTGTGCGCAAAATAGTTCACTGCGTTTTATGGAAGATAAAGAGAAGTTCTAATCGTTGAAACACACATTTATTTATTTATATTATATATTTAATATAAATGCTTTAATTTAACTGGTCAAGTGTTAAGGTATTTACTTTAACATCTTACATGAGTTTATGCATGCAAGTAGCTTTTAAAGTGCTAATTTACCATAATGCATTAGTAATATAATCTAAAACTAGAAATACAAGGCAGATTGTCTCCTACTCAATATTAATAATACATTCCACCTAGTCTAGACTTTGCACGTATTTGTAAGCAGGATTCAAACTCATGTCAGACAAAACATTGGTAAACAAACATCAATATAGAAAACTATATCTCTTATTTTATTCATAATTTTTACTAGTATATTTTCAATTTATTTATTGTCGAATTTCAATTTTAATCTTAATTAAATTTTGAATATATTAAACGAAATATAACCTAAACATTATTAACTACCCGTAGGGTAAGTTATAGTAATCGCAAAAAAATCGAAAATGAAAATTTGTATAAATCTTTACGTTTCAGAGGTTTCTGAACATTTTGGCATACCTTAGAAAAAATGGATGTATGCGTGCGTGTGTGTATGTGTGTGTGTGCGTGTGTGAATGTGTGTTCGGATACAAATTTTCTTCGACGATTTCGGGAACACGGATGAAGCGATTTGAATAATTCAAAAAACATTCAATTCGTATTGATAAGGAGACGTGCTGATTAGTTTTTGGCGAAGGCAGGTCTAGCCGTTCAGAAGATATGGGGCAAAAAGTGCCAAAAACGGTAACTCAGTTTTTAAGAGAACGGAGCGTCCGATTTGAATAATTCAAAAGGCAGGTCTAGTGGTTTCGGAGATCTAGTAAAAAAAGTAAAAAAAAAAATGCCATCTGGCGGTTAAAAATGATCATTAGACATAAGCACATCAAGTTATCAGATATTTTATAGAGATTTTAACAATAAGTATAAATTTTGTTTACATTCCTATGGATTCCGTACCAATGCTATCCGTTAGACGGCGGCGCGGCGCTTACGCGCTTTGATATTTCGTCTCTATACAGTTAAAGCAGTACGATTGCTTTGAAAAAAAGTTCAGAATTTCCAAAATATATCAAAATACACTTTACTTCAAAAAGTCTTTTTTTCAAAAAAAAGTAAATTTTTGTCAAAAATTTATAGTTTCTCAAAAATCTAATTTTTCAGAGTAAATGTTTTTCAAAAATGTTGATCTTTACAAAAAAAAAAAATTGGTACGGGAAGTTCCAGCAATTTGCCTTAAGGCAGGATGCCATACACCACTAGTTCCATATATATTAGTAATATAGTAACTTTATTATGATAGTAAATCGAATATATAATAGTAAATCAAATACATAATATTAAACCGAATATATAATAGTAAACACATAATAATACTTATTTTCACGAAGTTGAAAGATTTTTTTTACTAAACAATTAAGATCGTTTTTGTATTATCATCTAATGAATTTTTGTCGACATATCGCCTTGAATGTTTTTTCGACGACCTAAATATTTGTAAATAATATCTTATCTTTTTCCTTTAATTATCAATGACATAAAAATAACATATGAAATATTATACTATATATTTGCTCGTTAATTTCTGACGTTAAGTGCAATTTATGAGCAATGTCAGCTTTTCTTCAGTATATCAAAGTATTAAATGCTAACACATCTTTAGTCATCATAGATTGATAGAAATAATAGTGAATAAAAATATTGCCATAATTAATAAATCTTTAGTAAAAATGGGGATAAAAATATAGAAACATAATTTTACTTTATTTTTCGGTTTCTTTTATTTATTATTTTAAAAATATATTTGAAAAGTAACTGTAGCTCTAATAATTTTAAGTAGTCAACTATTGGTTTAACAAACAGCCGGAAAAGAATTAAAGTAAAACTTGATATCACTACTGCTTGATACCATGTTGTCCAAAACTTAAATAAGAACCTGAGACTTCGTGATAACATGCTTACCACAAAGCTCCCTAAAAATACCATTATCAGAAAGAATGTATCATGGCTTGGTGTATTTCTATCTCTAATGTGCTAAAAATAAATTTGCACTTGTTATTGTATATTGCAGTAATGGAAGTCATTAAATGAAGTCTAGTATGCTTTTTAATTTAATATAGATCGATATTATATTGCTTCTCGTATATTATTTTGAAATTGCTGTTTCACGGTCAATATGTCATTAGGTTCAAAGTCTTACGAGTAACTTGAATCGCGAAAATAACACGAGTTTGTTGATAATCTTCAAAAGATTACGTTATTGCTATATCAATATCATACTGATAATTTACACATTTTTTATAATATCATTTATATAACGATTAGCTTTTCGTGGTTCGGTTGTAACAGCTTGGTCTTTCAACCACACCGGACTCTAGTGCCCTTCTCATACAAATAGATATCAAGCAGTAGTGATACCAGTTTTCACGTGAAATAATTAAAAAATAAATTACTTTTACCAGAAAATTTCTAATAAAATTATACATGTTGGATAAAAAATATGTATAATGATATTTAGAAGAAGAATTTCAAGAATTCCACATTTGACCAACTTGTTATAATTTTTATAATTTATTATAATTCACATTTTTAATTAGGCTTGTAAATTTCAAAATATCAATAACTTTTGACGTCTATTTGATTAGATTTATAGGCAACAAATAATTAATAATTAATTATAAATATATTAATACATCACTATGTGACGTGTTTACACTGGCTGTTACAAGTTTACATTTTGATTATTGCAATAATTAATATATATAAAAAAACAAACAAAAGTTATAGTTACCAATTAAGATTAGATTTCAAATTAATGATGTTTTATGGTTTTTTTTATTGGTTGTTCTGTTTAATCGTTTTAATAAATTGTTTCGAAGGAATGCATTTTATAACCTGACACTAATTTTTATAGACATAATTATGAACAATAATTGCTCAAAGCATTTATTATGTAATGTTGAAAAGTTTTTTGCAAATAATTATTAACAATTTATATTTATTGGTATATCTATTATTCATTTATTTATTGATTTATTAATTTTTTTATTTATAAATCATGATCAATATCACTTTAGGCTGTCCTGAAATTTTTTGCATTATTTTTGAAGTGTCACAAGGGCAACTTCTGGTCTATTAATAAAATATTATAGGCCTATGAGAAGTATTTTTAAAAAATAGCCTGATGGTATATCTAGGTCAGTCACAAGCCAGGTTGTAAATCCATTCTATATTTACTTTATAGATAAAATTAAATTAAATTAATATATTAATTACTTCCGTATTGATTTATTTCCGCAAACTGTAAGAATCTTGGGATATACGTTCACTTGTCGATAAAGATATTGATATATTAATAAATTAAATATTTACCACTGACCTGCTTATCTTATCAATTACAAATTAATTATAAATTGCTGACTAACGTCAGTTTTATCGTTTTATTAATGTTTTTTATTTTGATGACTTGGCTGTTTCAATTATGACTCATAAATTTCATGTTTTTGGTTGATTTTTATTAATAATTATAATAATATTTACAATAGGCAAATACCTCCATTTAATTATGAAAAAACATGAAATTACTAAGTCTAATTTTCTGGCAAAATAATAAACTTTTTCTTCTAAAAATATTAGATATGCCTGTTTGCAGAACTGAGATTCAACTTAGAATTTATAATATTTATTTCTATTACAGATCTCCTTCGCCATGTCATCAATCAACCAAGGAGTATCATTTTGCTTTAGGAATTGAACAAATAATGATATTTTTCATATATAATAAGAAAATAGCAGATGCAAATAGCAAATATTACGCACAATGCAAAGTGATTCCGTGAGCCATTCAATGAGTGGCTGCCTGAGCAACAAACCGACAATAACTATGACAATATCAACTATTGGCGACAACCAAGAAAAGAATGCAAATAAATCACCAGCAGATGAAGGTGAGTGGAAATAAAAATAAATTAAGGAGTAACACCTTTGTAACAGAAGTGAGATGATTTAAACAGAAGTACAGATCAAACGTCCATCAGACATCCAAACCAATAATTGGATCACCAGTTATGAAATCCTATTCTAACTGGTTGATTCTGTATAACATTTGAAAACCTAGTATTTTGTAACTTAAGAACTTTATTTAAGAATGTTTGAGGTTGTTAACACGCTAATTTCATTCATTGTGGGATAAGCCGATGGAAAATAATTATCTGATAAGGACAATTACAGGTTTACTATGCTGGAAGATTTTGTCCAAGATTTTTAGACTATTAACTTTTTAATAATTACTTTATATATGAGTTTTTGAAACTACCACCTGTAGGAAACATGAAGATATCTTATCTAATTGGATCAGATAATAACTGGCTTGACTGACCTAGATACACCAGGCTATTTTTTAAAAATACTTCTCATAGGCCTATAATATTTTATTAATAGACCAGAAGATGTTTCATAAAAATACCAGAAGATGAGTGAACCTGAAGTTGCCCTTGTGACATTTGGATAGAAGCTATAAATCTTGTTGTTTTGATATATAATTACAATATTTTTACATAATAAACGAACTTAGGCAGAACAACAGTTCAGCAGCACTTAAATCTATATCTCTATATACAATAAAAAATTATAAGTTTTGACAAACAAAATTTTTGTGAAATGCAATAAAACGTCATGGTACAATATGAAATTAAATCGATACCACAAATACTTTAAAAATATCACAATCATATTTTAACACATTAGACTCAAACAATGCGTAATTCGCCAAAGCCAAGTTCGTCTCAAGAAATATATAAAAAATTCCTTTCTCCTGTTGATTTAAATTCAATATGTTGTCACAACTTAATGTAATAAGAGTAGAAATAATGATGAATGGCGTTTTCCAAGTTGACATGTAAGAAACTGATATTATACCATGTGTTATTGTTAGCAGTTGCCATCACCAGTACCCAACTGGTGTTGACGAGCTTGTGTGCTGGTGCCATCGCTGGAGCTATCGCTAAAACTGCCATAGCTCCATTGGACAGAACAAAAATTAATTTTCAAATAAGGTAAAATAAAGCTAATAATATACATTTTTTAAATGTATATATATGACAGAATGCACTTGCTTTCAGCAAGGCGCCTTATTCGATGAAATCGGCATGGCGTTTTCTGTGCGACACTTACAAGAACGAAGGCGTTTTGGCACTATGGAGAGGAAATTCGGCAACCATGGCCAGAATAATTCCCTACGCTGCAATACAATTTACGGCACACGAGCAATGGAAACGAGTTTTAAAAGTTGATAAAGTTAAATCTTCAGACAAGTACGTGGTTTTTGTAAATTTAAATAAATTATTCTAAAAAATGCCTTCAATCCAATCTATTAGTTTGTGTAAATAATAATAATTATATTTCTTTTTCAATTTCCTTTTAGAAATGTCAGCACAAAAAGATTTTTGGCAGGATCTTTGGCCGGAATAACATCTCAGTCCTTGACTTATCCCTTAGATCTAGCAAGAGCAAGAATGGCAGTCACGCAGAGAGGCGAATATAGGTAACTAAATTGGACAATACCTTCTTCTTCTTTTTTATTATTAAATTTATTAAATAACACATTTATATATTATTAATTTAAGGACTCTCCGCCAAGTATTTGCAAGAATATGTCGGGAGGAAGGCGCTCACGCACTTTATCGCGGATATTGGGCAACTATTTTGGGTGTCATTCCGTACGCTGGTGTTTCATTTTTTACTTATGACACGTTGAAACATCAATATAAAGGTAAATCTAACAATAAGTGTAAATTGTAAAGAATATGTTAGTGGAAAACTAATATTTTAAAAATACAATTAAAGCACATAAAGCCACTGGCTAGGGCTTTGTCGTTTTGTCTTAACTGCCTGAATAAAATAATAGCTTATAAATCAATATTATCAACTATTAATGTGAATGTTTTTTCTACTTAGCTTATACCCATAGTGATCCATCAGGAATATACAGTCTCTTATTTGGAGCAATAGCTGGTGTACTCGGCCAGACTTCAAGTTACCCATTAGACATTGTCCGAAGAAGAATGCAAACTGCCAGGTTACAAAACGATGGAAAGTATATGTATGTTGCCATCATGCCTACTCTGAAATTGATTCTTAGGTTAGTTAAAAAAAAATCTGTTATTAAAAAACAAACGAATATTTATTGCACATGCAGACTGTTTCTAATAAGATCAGCAGAATATTTTAATTCTAAGCACCATTTTTTGGGGCACTTCGGATATTTAATATATAAGTTAATTTGGATATTTGGGATTCTTTTATATTTAATTATAATGATTGATTACAGAAATGAAGGTTTTAAACATGGATTCTATAAAGGCTTGACTATGAATTGGATAAAAGGTCCAGTAGCCGTTGGTATTAGTTTTGCATCATATGATACTATCAAAGATTTCTTAAGAAACGTTATTCATCTAGATAATCTTAAATTCAGATAGTGAATTTAATAGTGTTAAATAATTTTAGTCGTATTAACCCATTGCCAATATTATTATGTTTTATTGTATATACTGTAAAGTGGAAATATCTCGTATTTTTAAGATTTTGTTGATAAAGAATATATTTTTGAAATTTGTTGAAAAGCAAACTACTTATACCATTTTATAAATGCAATTATTCTGCTTTTAATTGGTCGCGTCTATAAATGAAATATTCTCCATCATTTTACTATGTTGAGTCGCTATTTATATTCTTATTAATTAAGGATGTTGAAATGTTTTAAAGCTATATTGTAAATAATATTAAAAAATGTTATTGTTTTAGTTTGAGACATATAATAAGAATTTTATTTCAATATTTTGTTTATATGAATAAGAAAATAATATATAGACTGATACGGTGCCCTTAGGTTATGTTAATGTACATACATATTGATTGATATTTAAAAAACTAAATTTATGCTATTGTCGAATGCCAAAGTCTAAATTGTGCAATTTTGAAAAAGTTGATTTGTTTATAATAAATGTTATATAAATATTTACTTGAACTATTTGTTTCATTACATCACTATCTTTGTAATAATGTATTTATAATTGGGAAATATTCTGAGAATTCATTACTTTATGTATAATTCCTAATTTTTGTTTTAAAATTTCAGAAAAAGGTTAAAAAATTAACTATCTTACTCTGTAGGTAATCATGGATCCAGTGTTTATTTAGGTGTTGGTTATTTTGTTTAGTGAGTTCAATCATCGTAATACTAAATCATAGCTTAAATTATATTTTATTGCTTTGTGAAGTTTCATCAATCATAACTATTTAAATAGAACATTCTATAACTTACTAACGTATTAACAGTATATAAAAATGAAATTAAAATCATATTACTCAACGAGCAGGCTTTAAATATTCCATTACCTACATGATTAATAATCTAATTTATCATCTCTGTATACTCAAATAATTAAAGTTTCCTATGTGGTTTCCTGCGTATTTCAATAATAAATAAACTAAAATAGTAAATACGTAGTTATAATTAATCGGTATTTTCATTCATAAATCTTTGGCCTTCATCTAAACTCCTCCTACAATCTTAATTGCGGAATTGAATTACTCGTTTTTCTTAAATATATTTATTTGGCAGCGTCTACAATAAGTACATCGGATTAGTAAGCCGATAGTAATTTTCCACAATAAATGATATTTTTAGTAAATCACATTATAAGATTTTTTATCACCAAAGCTATAAATTTGATCCGGTGGTCTTTATGTGTTTAATAAAATATGCAAGTCTTCATATAATTCAATAAACGTTGTATTTATAATTCGATCATTTTAATACCGTAAATACATTTTATTGTTAATAAAAAATGTTTAAAGCGGAAACACATTTTTATTGCCAAAATAAAACGCATTTTCTGTGATCTTTCAACAATTTGATCTGATATATTTTTACAATATGAAAATAAAATTAGTTCGTTTGAAAATTAATCAGTAACATCGATTGTTTTATGTGGTTTTTATGTAGTTTAGTCTACTAGATCTTGACAGAGTTGCTGAACTAAATCTTAATAAATAAAATATATATTATGGTAAACTAGTTTTAGCTTAAGTTATATCTAATAATATAATAATGATATATGTTTTTGGAATGCGCTATTTGTTTTTAGTTTAGACCCACACGGAAAACCAATCTATCACTAATTGTACAGATTTACAAAATCTTATTAGTCATACTTTATTTAATAGTTATATCTAAATGCTTAGAATAAATACAAATAATTATTTCCATTTATTCTTACTGAATACTTAAATATTTAATATAAATTTTGAGTATATTCTTACTCTGGATTTCTGAAGTATAGCTCTGTACAGATCAGAGATATGGACTTTAAGGAAGACTATCAAAAACTATCTGGAGAGTTTTGAAACATAAATTTCAAAAAGTATATTCTTACTCTGGATTTCTGGAGTATAGTTCTGTACAGATCAGAGACATGGACTCTAAGGAAGACTATCAAAAACTACCTGGAGAGTTTTGAAACATAAATTTCAAAAAGAATATTTTACTCTGGATTTCTGGAGTATAGTTCTGTACAGATCAGAGACATGGACTCTAAGGAAGACTATAAAAACTATCTGGAGAGTTTTGAAATATAAATTTCGAAAAGTTTATTCTTACTCTGGATTTCTGGAGTATAGCTCTGTGCAGATCAGAGACATGGACTCTAAGGAAGACTATCAAAAACTATCTGAAGAGTTTTGAAATATAAATTTCAAAAAGTATATTCTTACACTGGATTTCAGGAGTATAGCTCTGTATAGGTCAGAGACATGGACACTAAGGAAGACTATCAAAAACTATCTGGAGAGTTTTGAAATATGAATTTCGAAAAGTATATTCTTACTCTGGATTTCTGGAGTATAGCTCTGTACTGATCAGAGACATGGACTCTAAGGAAGACTATCAAAAACTATCTGAAGAGTTTTGAAATATAAATTTCAAAAAGTATATTCTTACTCTGGATTTCTGGAGTATAGCTCTGTACAGATCAGAGACATGGACTCTAAGAAAGACTATCAAAAACTATCTGGAGAGTTTTGAAACATAAATTTCAAAAAGTATATTCTTACTCTGGATTTCTGGAGTATAGCCTTGTACTGATCAGAGACATGAACTCTAAGGAAGACTATGAAAAACTATCTGGAGAGTTTTGAAATGTGGTGCTGGAGGCGAATGGAGAATGTAAATTGGATAAGCAAGATAACAAATGAAAAAGTCATGAGGAGAGTTGTCAAAGAAAATACTCTTTTTAAATGAAAAGGAAACTGGATGGGACTAATTCTGCAAAAAGAGTGCTAAAATCGAGACGTTGTCGAAGATAAATTAGAAGGACTGACAGAAACTGGACCAGGAAGGACAAAAGCAAAGTTTGGAAAGATGGAGAATGTAAAAATGGAGAATGGTGGTATAAAATGGTATTGGAAATGATAAACAAAGGAGGAAAAGGGATCTGTAATTTGTGGTGCACTCATACTATGGGCCTGCCTTCGGGCAGACTACAATGTATCATTATCATTGTAAAAAAATTATCATAAGCTCCAATAATATCAATATTATTAACTTACCAAATGGAGAAGTCTCTGTATTCGACAGAAAATCCGATTCGCTTGCGTGTTTTTGACATTTTTCCAGAAACGGCTGAACCAATTTTAAAAATTCACAAGCCATTCGATGAAACTGGATAAGGATTCGTTTTGATCAGTCTTCACTGTGAACAAGTATCAATATCAAATTAGATTATAATTTCAATTCACACACACAAGTAATTTATAAAATATCAATATTATTTGCTGTTATATTTTGATAGTTTATTCAATATTTTATCTCCATGCTTCACATATAGATTAGACTATAAACTGTATATAAAATTTAAAAGTTTATTTCACAAATATTTTATAACATGCCGAAATTGATAGCACATGTCAAGTACGGTTTTGCGGATTACATTTTCGCACATCGCCCGCTGCTTTTCTTTCGCTTATGAAAAGCGTAAACACTTCGAAGTGTGTTTACATTAGACGCGATCGGTAATTCTTGTATGAATTTAAAAAATGTGTATTAAAAAATCGACTTACCTATAATGAGAGACTGGTTATACTCCTTTCGATCATTTAATTGTTTACAAAACAGGATCGTTATATGCTTCCTAACCGAACCGAAATAGTAACATATTTGTGGTGGTAAAATTCGCGTGCGAAATGATTACTTACGATCGGAAGATCGCCGATCGTCGTCAGTGCAGCCAGGACAGCCAACAGGAGGACAGGGGATATTTAGTCATCGAACGTTGATCATTCTGTTTTTCCAACCACTTGAACTTAAAGTGTTTGGGTCAAATAGAGACAGTGAATGGTGAATTATGATACATGAACATTAAATAAATATGGTGTAATATTATTTGTGAAAAAATAATGCCGCTGCGTAAAATTTCAATCAAGGATATTATGAAAGATCATGGGCTAAAAGATGAAGAGGAGACAACGGACGCTAGGGTGAGTGTAACAAAAATTATCTGTACTGTGTAATTATGATAACTAACTTAAGCAACTATCAATATTTATTTGTTTATTTATAAAATAAAAAATTATTCAAGACGATTTCATTATTCACGCTGGAGAAGTTTATGTTTTTTCTATAAAATCCGTATTGATAATTCAAATCATTCTATTTTGACACCTGACACGTTTTCGAAAAATGGCCGCACCAATTCAAAAAATTTAAAAGGCTTTAAAAAATGAAACTAAATTTTCGTGAGAGCCATTTTTTTACAATTAGCGGAAAATTTTGTTCGTCCACGTTTTAGCCAAAAATCCTATACAAAATTTAAAAATTTACAAACTAGAACTGAAAACCGTGCTGATTAGTTTTGATGAAGATCGGCCGGGCAGTTTCTTCGTAATTATTTTTCTACGATAAATTATTTTTCGGCGATTTTGATGAAACTTTGTAGATTGATAGAGTTCATGGTTTTAACAAACATTCTAAAAAATATAAGCGTACAAAAAGTGGATTGTTTGTAAAAATTCATCAAAATTTGGAATAATGGAGTCCTGCCAAAATTTCAAAACTCTATTAATCATAATTTTAAAAGTTGCAAAATCTCAGATCTTATTGATTACCTACAATTATTGGAAAGTTTTGGAAACTTGTCTTAAGGCAAAAAGCTTCTAACATCTATTGGCTTTCATTTTTGTTAAATATATTAAAATAAATTTATATTATTATACATCAAAAAATAACTTGACCTATAAAAAGCCCGATTACCATTGACTTACATTTCCACATGATTCATTTTCGGTAAAAGCATTTATTTATTTTATTTTATTTATGACTTTGCTAAATTTATCATTTGAACAGCGGATATTCGATCATAATATCTGCAATAAAATTTCAATTTTCTGCCAATAAAAAGAATGTCAGTTATATTCAGAAATACGGTTTTTTTAACTTTCAAAAATTGTATAAATATCTTATCATAAACCAACCTAATCCATTAATCGGAAAATAAAGAATTGGTAAACATTGAAAACTGTTTCTTTGATATATCCAATATAAATTATATGTAGAAGTAATAAAACTCACTATAAGAAAAATTTAAATATAAATACCAATGAACATATATTCATGATTTTAATTTACTGAACTATTATTTTACATGGCAATTGAACTAGTTAAGAAGTTTTATTAAATTTAGTTTAATCAAAAATTTTAAGACTTTGACAATAATTTAATCCGCTTAGCGAAAGAAATTGATCAGATTCATCTGAAGTAAAAAAAAAAATTCAACTGTATTTTTGAAAACCTATTGATGCTGTTCAGGAGTATTCACTTCATTAGTACGAAGGAAACTATTATTATCTCTATATTTATCCATTATACATGTTTGCATTTTAATTTATCTCCTGAATTTAATGATCAACAATCATTGTTCTACATTTCTTAGTAACCGATGATGACGAAACGCTTTTGTACTTGAAATTTCGATCTATTTTCCCTGTATATTTGTTCAACGATGTTTGGCATTCTGCGAGTCATAAAAACGCATTTTATTACATAAATATTTACTAAAATTCAATCCAAAACTCTATAATTTTTACAACGTATAAAATCAATCTGGACAATGTATAATTAAAGTTTCTTTTTTGATTTATAAATGTTTTATGACATATTTAAATACGGACTTGAACAATTCAGGATAGTAAGGTGACACAGGCAACTACTGTTTTATGATTTAAATATTTATTTAAAATATTGAAATAGTAGAATTTTAAAATACAATTAAAATGAGTGATAAAAATCACATTCAATTTTTTTTTTAATTTAAAATACTTTTTTTTATTAGGAAGAACGTCGAACGACTGGAAGAGCAGTAGCCACTGTGATTGCTTTAGGTTTGATAGGTTTGGCAATTTATCATGCCTGGATCAGGAGAACGGTAGTAGTTGCTGGTATTATTGTTCCTGCCCTCATCATGGTTCTCTATACTGCCTGGGTTTTATATACAGCAAGAAAAGACAAAGCAAGAGCCAGAGTAAGTTGCAAGATCTTATTGTGATACTCAGAAGTCCTAATGGATTCTTTTATCGTATATCGTACCCATATTTTTGACCAAAAATGTGTTCCTCCTTTTTCTAGTAAATTTCAGTAAAATTCAATTTAGCAAAATATTTCTAAACCAAATATTGTGGATAAAATCGTTTGTTTTCACAGTTTCTCAATATAAATCAGTTCATTGTTTATTTACGTTCATTTTAAAGCTTTAGTTTCTCTTGTTAGGTATTGATACGCGATCACTTTACGTCATCATGTTACGTCTAAATGATGACGAAATTTATCTAATTTAATTTTATGGGCTTACTCGTGGCACTGTGGTAATAGCTTTGGCTTTCAAATCTAAAGTACAAGTTTTGATACTCACATTGGCAAGAAAATATGTTTCTGAGTGAGAATGCCCTTTCTCTACATTGACAGATTCAACTCTATCAATAAAAATGTATCAAATGTAGATAAATATTAAATGAAGGCAAAATGGATTGCCTTCTAAAAAGCCAAATGTTCTAAAATGCCTTCTAAAAAGCCATCACAAGTTTCAATAACAGCTCGACTCTTGAGACGGTTTCAAAGCCAAATAAACAAACAATTAATAAAAATAATGATATAAAATGTCTGATTTATTTTCTCTATTTCTGATGGCTTGTTTTTTATTTGATGCACCAATGTTGGGGAATAGCTATATACACTAGAAACAGTGCTGGATATACAGTGGGGGCAGTCGGGGCTACTGTCCAGGGCGGCAGATTTTCGGGGGCGGCAAAATTTGGATAGTGGGAAAAAAATTCTATACAATGTAATCAACTAATTTTTTTTCAATAACGTTTTTTATTTCAAGAAATATAGTTAACTTTTGTTAATTTATATAAAACATACTACGAATGCAATGCAAAATTTGGATTCAAATAGACGATTATTAAAATTTATTATTTTTCTTTGACTTCCTCTCCGAACATAAATTATCAAATTGGTTAACAAGTTATTATCAAATTTGGCAATTTGGCTAATATAAAGTTTCGTAAACGAGCTAAAAGTGCATTTTTGTCAGTGCCCCAGGGCGCCAAATTTCTAATTCCGGCCCTGTCTGTGATGTTATATCTTATATGGATCTATATGTTTTTCGCGCTTTTGAGCCTTGTATAATATTCTATTCAATTTTATTCATAAATATTTTGAAAAAATTAGCTCTTGTTTGTTTGTTTTCATAATTTTTAATGTTACTTGTTAATTCATCTGTCAATTTTTGAAAAAACCGGGACAAAAGATCTAAATCCGGTACAAATCATGCTATTGAAATAACCGGAGACACAAGGTGAAAATCCGGGACTGTACCAGCCAATCCGGGAGGTATGGTCACCTTAATTGTAGTAGATTTACTAGACCTATTGTAGAAGATTTACTACAACCATTGTAGTAGATTTACTCGACCAATTGAAATACATTTACCACACTCATTGTAGTAGATTTACTATATTCACTGTAGTAGATTTACTACACCATTGTAGTAGAATTACTACACCATTGTAGTAGATTTACTCGACCAATTGAAATACATTTACCACACTCACTGTAGTAGATTTACTATACTCATTGTAGTAAATTTACTACACCATTGTAGTAGAATTACTACACCATTGTAGTAGATTTACTCGACCAATTGAAATACATTTACCACACTCATTGTAGTAGAATTACTACACCATTGTAGTAGATTTACTCGACCAATTGAAATACATTTACCACACTCATTGTAGTAGATTTACCACACTCATTGCAGTAGATTTACTACAACCATTGTAGTAGATTTACTACACCATTGTAGTAGATTTACTCGGCCAATTGAAATACATTTACCACACTCATTGTAGTAGATTTACTATACTCATTGTAGTAGATTTACTATACTCATTGTAGTAGAATTACTCGACAAATTGAAATATATTTACCACACTAATTGTAGTAGATTTACTATACTCATTATAGTAGAATTACTACACCATTGTAGTAGTTTACTCGACCAATTAAAATACATTTACCACACTCATTGTAGTAGATTTACTATACTCATTGTAGTAGATTTACTATACTCATTGTAGTAGAATTACTACACCATTGTAGTAGATTTACTCGACCAATTGAAATATACATTTACCACACTCATTGTAGTAGATTTACCACACTCATTGCAGTAGATTTACTACAACCATTGTAGTAGATTTACTACACCATTGTAGTAGATTTACTCGGCCAATTGAAATACATTTACCACACTCATTGTAGTAGATTTACTATACTCATTGTAGTAAATTTACTACACCATTGTAGTAGAATTACTACACCATTGTAGTAGATTTACTCGACCAATTGAAATACATTTACCACACTCATTGTAGTAGAATTACTACACCATTGTAGTAGATTTACTCGACCAATTGAAATACATTTACCACACTCATTGTAGTAGATTTACTATACTCATTGTAGTAGATTTACTACACCATTGTAGTAGATTTACTCGGCCAATTGAAATACATTTACCACACTCATTGTAGTGGATTTACTATACTCATTGTAGTAAATTTACTACACCATTGTAGTAGAATTACTACACCATTGTAGTAGATTTACTCGACCAATTGAAATACATTTACCACACTCATTGTAGTAGATTTACTACAACCATTGTAGTAGATTTACTCGACCAATTGAAATACATTTACCACACTCATTGTAGTAAATTTACTACACCATTGTAGTAGAATTACTACACCATTGTAGTAGATTTACTCGACCAATTGAAATACATTTACCACACTCATTGTAGTAGATTTACTACAACCATTGTAGTAGATTTATTCAACCAATTGAAATACATTTACCACACTCATTGTAGTAGATTTACTATACTCATTGTAGTAAATTTACTACACCATTGTAGTAGAATTACTACACCATTGTAGTAGATTTACTCGACCAATTGAAATACATTTACCACACTCATTGTAGTAGATTTACTATACTCATTGTAGTAGATTTACTACACCATTGTAGTAGATTTACTCGACAAATTGAAATATATTTACCACACTAATTGTAGTAGATTTACTATACTCATTGTAGTAGAATTACTACACCATTGTAGTGGTTTAGTCGACCAATTAAAATACATTTACCACACTCATTGTAGTAGATTTAGATTTTATAAAGAGCATTAAAATTTTCAGAAATATGAAAAAACGCCCTTTAAAAAACTTTTTTTTTATATGTATATTGAAATTTTTTGAAAATTATGAACTTTTTCAAAGCAATCGCGCTGCGAAAAATTTCAAAAATATTTCAAAATATAAAGAAAACTCAAAATTTTCAAAAATTGATTATTGATCAAAAAATATTATTTTTTTTTTTAATTTTAATTTTTGGTACAGGAATAACATATAAAAACAATTTAAGTAACATTTCAGGGATGAGGCGGCATTTTGTCAGTGCCCCAGGGCGCCAATTTTCTAAATCCGGCCCTGACTAGAAAACATAATGTAGATCTATATTTTCAAGTAAAAATGTAGATAAATCGAATTCAAATTTTGTATTCATTTCCTTTCGTTTTTCAGAAGTTGCAAATGCAGCGAGAAGCTATTTTGAAAGAAGTTATTAGCGCAGTTCCCAATATCAGTGTTACAGAATTTGATAAAGAAGAAGCTTTAGCAACAAATGATCAGAAATCAGAAAATGTGAATAATGATATACAAACACCAGAAATTGCATTTCATCCAGCAATTTTACAAAATGAACTCAAAGAACCAAATCTGCAGACTAGAGCTAATTTTGGACGATCTATATCTGTAATTTAAGGAGTATTAAATAAATTATTTATTTACTGTTGATCTACAGTAAATACAAAGTTACTCAAGTAATTTTAATATTAAGTATCTGTTGATTTCTTGACAAATAGACATAATTATTTAATTATATTATACTATTTTGTATTAATAATCTGTGTTTTTTGACATAAATAAATTTATGAAGTCTATGTTTTGTTTTTTAAACCAATCCCTTATTAATTTTCAAATGAATTATGTTTTTGATTTAATTTTCAAATATTTGTGAATTTAACCTGACGCAAAAAACATAAAACATTTAATAACTTTTCTTAAATAAAGGAGATTTAAATCTCTGTACAATGTTTAAATCGTTGAGAAAATTGTCATGCAATATATATTGATCTCTTCTTCATTTATCTATGATTGATCTCTTCATTGACCGGAAATAGGATATATATATGTATAATTATCATTATTTTATTACAACAAATAATTATTCTGTATATAAATATTTATACTGTATACAGAAAATAATAACAATTATTGACCTAGATAAAAGGCAAAATACCACGCATCCATCCATTTTGTGTATAATCAATGACAATCGGTTTAGTTTCTGTCAGACCGTTTGACAGCTGTTCTATGCGCTTCTGGAATAAAATCGAATTGCGCATTAAATAATTGATTTTCAAGCAATATTATTCATAAAAAATACAAAGTAAGTACGATTAATACTTTTTTATCCTCTTTTTAAATTTTGTTGTTCATGTCTCTTACAATTGAGCTACAATACTGTTACAGATGTCAAGATACCGCGAATGGGATCTTTCGTGCAAAGTTTACATTGGAAATTTAGGCTCTTCAGCTACTAAACATGATATTGAGACTCATTTTAGTAAATATGGCCCTTTGCGCAATGTGTGGGTTGCTAGAAATCCTCCAGGATTTGCTTTTGTAGAATACGAGGATCCAAGGGATGCTCAGGATGCTGTGAGGGGTCTTGATGGAACGTGAGTAGACAAAACATTGATTTTCTTGTTTATATTTGAAATATACCAATAATAGAATGATAATTATTTTCCTGAAGTCTTCATTGAAAAGAAGCGAATGGCAGCATATGTACTTATTATATATTACATTTTTACATCTTTTATTTTAGTATAATATCATGTATTAGAGCTTACATAATTTATTTATTGTTTTAATAATAGTTGACTATACTTATTTACAGCCGTTGCTGTGGAACACATGTCAAAGTTGAAATGTCTTCAGGTAGATCTCGTAGAATGAATTCATCAAGAGGTTCCAGAAGGCGTTCTAGGTACTTAAACACAACATACTACTCAATTCACATACCCAATATTTTATTTGTATATGAAAACATACATTCATTAAGCTCATTAATTAATCTTTCACGTATAATATTTGAATTATTTATTTTGGAAGTCAATACAGGCTTTTATATGTTTTCTTACATGTGGTAATATGTATATTTCTCAAACAAAATATCTTATTAGATTCTGATGGTTAATCTTATCAGATTACTGAAATATTTCTTTTCTAATGTATAGGCACTTTGTCATTTAACACGTACTTTAGCAGCCTGTAAATACTGGTCTTTGCTACCAGTTAATTTCTATAGAAGTAACAACCCGTCTTTCAAAATTATGACAACCACTTTCGCCCATGACAACATGTCCAGCCATTTGAGATGAACCAACAACATTGGTTGCACCATCCATCTGACTCCTGTTGGATACATCTTTATTTATTCATCTTTAATGCAACTTGGCTGATCCCCAATACAACTTTAACATCAACACATCATGCGGTTTGAAAGTACTGAATATATGTATAATTATACACCTTTATATGGTTACAGTAAAGCCATTCATTGGTATTTATGTATTTATTCTGAATTATTTTATGGGTTCTATTTATGATGATATTTACACTTGAGCACGAGTTTTTAGATGAAGTTTTTAGTGATTATACCGTATTACACTAGAATGTAATGAATAAGTATTGCTTTTATCTATACACCAAGCATCATGTGCAAATACCATCATTTATAGACTTTTTTATAATTAGTTAAAACTTCAACTAGTCATTTTTTTACTGCTATAGCACTAAATTCAGACAGCTTTGATAACTGTGAAATATTCTTATAATTTTCGTTTGTTAAAAACTATATAATTGAGTATAGGAAATAGGATTATGAGTTTATTTTAAATTCATCTCTTCTATTATAATTATTCATCTATTTATAGTTAACACCAACTAACATATTCTTGAATTTAATATATAAACACTCGGATTGAATTATTGTTGATGTAATTCTTAACATTATAGTTAATTTACTATTCATAACTTACATTTAGAATATATGAATTTACTAGAGCTGTTTGAACAAACATTTTACCTGGACATTATCTTATACAGTGTGGTTGCTTTATATATCAATTATTCTATTTTAAAAACATTTATTCTTTTTAAACTAAAAGTTTATCTTTATAGGTCGCGTTCACCAAGGAGGCGATCGAGGAGCAACTCTCGCAAACCAAGAAGTCGTTCTTATTCAAGAGATAGGTACTAACCTAACTATATTTGACAAAGCAATTGATCTTTCTTGAAATCACGAATGAAATTAGTTTATTTAATTTTTTATTTTAAGTATAAATATATGACCCTTTTATGTAAATTGACACAAATATTCATTAAGCACTTGATATTTTGTTAAAAATTTTGGTTGATTTATTGGCATTTTAGCGATCCTTTATGAAATAAATGGATTAAAGCCAAATGTATTATTATCGTAAAAATAAATAATAATCAGCATAATTTATCTAACTTTCATTTTTTGATATGAATTTGAAACATTGATTGTATTTTCAACCATTTTATATAAATAAAAAATATTATATAAGAATAACGTAATTCTGCAGGCATTGTGAATAAATAAACCCCAAAGTAAAGATTTTGATTATTGGTTAAAAAAATGGTGATGTGCTCACCAGTAGTTTGATTTTTGAATTTATTTTTCACCTGAATTAGACAAAATATGTGTTAATCAAAATTCCCGCCGGATCTGTAGTGCGAAAGCACAAGTTAATATAAACAGACCAAATTTTCTTTATATGCGAAAACTTAAAAAAAAGTAAAGGTATAATTGAATTAATATAAATGATTTAATAGATCAGTTAGCCAAAAAATGGAAAACGAGTGTAATGTTAAATAAATTTTTATTCACGGAGCCCCTTAAAGGCAGGCAGACAACCTTCAGACATCACTTTTCTTAATTGGAATTTAGCATAGTTCACTTTTATATACTAATTTGCATTGAAGATTGTGATAATGAAATGATTGAAGTAAAGCCAGCAAGTGTTTGTGTAAATTAAGCAAGGATTAAATCAATGTGTTCATAAAGCCCTATGAAGTCTTTATTCCCCTGACTGTGAGGCAAATAACATTCCGCTGGAAATTACGTCTTAGGGCACGTGACGACGCACACACGGTATAGTGCACATGTTTTTAGTCGGTATCAGTATGTGTGTTGAGCTGAAACGTTTTTAACTGATAGTGTACATAGGCAAAGATATGTCATTTCGTATTACTACCGCTAATTATTTTTTAACATCGAATTTATGAAATAGCGAACATTTAAAAATAATAAAAACCTAGTGTTAAAATATTATTCAAATTTAGAATGTCAAGAACGTTTGTTTCTATCTTATGTTTTACGTGTTTCACATTCGCAAGTTCTAGCGCGACTTCAGTGAAAGTTATCAATGTTACTAAAGTAAACAATGATTTAGAAAAAGTGTTAATACAAATTTCAGGGAGTTTGTTATTAAGTGATGTAAGTGCCTTTGTGTTTCCTAAAAGTGATCTAGAGTGTAGTGAATCACCAAATAGTGCTTCCTTCAACAACCATGTACCGATTTTCAATTTAACTTTCGTCGAACCAGATACTGGCCTCGCCGAATTCGTTGTGGAACATGCGGATTCGTTTTGTTTGCAAATTTTTGGAGAAAATCAAGATAATGCAATATTTTCTGATGTCATACATTTGAAGAATCAAAGGTAATTGTAAATTAATCAAAACTCGACTCGCATGAGTGATGTTATCAGCAAAAAAACATGTGAGATAGTAATTGTACACAAAGTCATTGATAGGCGTGCCTATTTATGATAGATTGTGGTTTTGCTTAAACTATTTAGTCTTAATTTCTAGATTAGTCTTAATTGATTTACTCTTAGTGTTTTTAAATAATGTATATCGAAAATATGTTTTTCCTAAACAAGGGGGCACAAAATTTGGCAAGAGTATTTAGATGTTTCTAAAATATTATTAACTTCCCGTAGTTGCCCTACGGGAGTAGGGTCCCCTAGTTATAGTAATCACAAAAAAATCGAAAATGAAAATTTGTATATATCTTTACGTTTCAGAGATTTCTAAACATTTTGGCATACCTTAGAAAAAATGTATGTGTGTGTGTGTGCGTGTATGTATGAATGTGCGGATACAAATTTTCATCGACGATTTCGGGAACACGGATCAACCGATTTGAATAATTCAAAAAACATTCGATTCGTATTGATAAGGAGACTTGCTGATTAGTTTTTGGCGAAGGCAGGTCTAGCCGTTCCGAAGATACGGGGCAAAAAGTGCCCAAAACAGTAACTCAGTTTTTAAGAGAACGGAGCGTCCGATTTGAATAATTCCAAAAACATTTTATTTGTATTGACTAAATGAAGAACTGTTCAAATTTTTGGAAAGGCAGGTCCAACGACTTAGGAGATATGGAGGAAAAAGTAAAAAAATGAGTCATCTGGCGGTCAAAAATGAACATTAGACATTTGCACAACAAATTATCATTTTAACAATTAGTGTAAATTTTGTTTACATTCCTATGGGTTCCGTACCAATGTTTACGCGTTAGACGGCCACGCGGCGCTTACGCGCTTTGATATTTCGTCTTTATGCAGTTAAAGCAGTACGATTGCTTTGAAAAAAAGTTCAGAATTTCCAAAATATTCCAAAATAAACGATTTAAGATAGAATGATTTAATATGGTTCGAAAATCTATTAAAAGTTTCAAATCATTGATCAACTTTTATTGATTATTTTTAATTACTCGAATTTTGAATTGCCGTACGGGAAGTTCCAGCAATTTGCCTTAAGGCACGATGCCCTAATTGCCTTAAGACAGAATTCCACTTACAGCTAGTTTACAATACAAACCAAAAAAGTCGAATGGTTATCAAAAAAAAAAAAATGGATCAGGAAAATGGTGTACTTAATACGCAATCCTTGCCGCGAATTTCAAAAACAACCTTTGCGTTTGAAGTTATTACATTTTTGATTATTTATACTTATGATACTTATTTTTTATATACATTTTGACTTAAAATATTATTTATTTAAAATATTAATTTAAGGTAGCGCTTTTTTTAAATGTCGACATGGGTACAAAATGTTTGGAAACCATTGACAATGAGTTATATTAAATATTACTTTTGAACGATTAATTATTTTTAAAATCACTAAAATATCATTTTATTGCAGATACATTATAATAGAATTTCTATATATATATTTTGTTAAACTTCTTTCAATATTCTTCTTAAAACCATATACATTATTAAGTATAAATAATGTTTTCTCAAAAATAAAATACCGCACTGGATTTCCTTCTATGTTTATAAAGTTATTAGTCATAATAGATTAAGATATACCATTCATGCCGGTCAGACTAATTAAGACAATTTACACGTAATATTTTTAACTTTTAAACTATTTCATTAAATAGTAATTAACGTTGTTTTTACTAATTATTATTTGTGCTAAATTAGAAATACCGATATAAAACCCGTTTCGATGAACCCATAATAAGAAAGAAATCAGCTGTGAAGTTATCTAAATTGTTAACTAGAGCCAGTTAACTAGATACCAGCTCGGTATCAAGCAGCATGATACCAGATTTTCACTTAAAATCAAAGATCTACTACTACTTGATACAAGTGCAAAGTCAAATCTCTTACCACTGAGCCTCGAAAATAAGTCTCAATAAAATTTGATAAAATGTCTTAAATATTTATAAAAATATATGACATCACATGTTAATTCTTGCTTTGTAGAGGCGTTTTATTCAAATACGGCATTCGGTGACAATGCAATGAGTTTTCAATTGATTTGCTGGACTCGAAGGCATGACATCAACGAGCTTGAATTGTATTTGTCATAAAGAATTGCCTTATTAATTGATTAATACAAAATGTTCTGCCATGATATATTGCTTTATCCATAAAGTACTTAAAGGCAAATATGCGAGTTGTTTTGATCGGAGTTGAAACATATTTAATTATAATTACTTAAAATTGTATTGTATTGCACATATTGGTAAAAGTTCCCTGTATATTTCTAGGAGAATGAGTCAACATTTATAGTTTCTATATATTAGTCAAAGTGGTGACCCCGACTGGTGACCATATGAATAGATTATATTCTTATAGATTTTATATATAAAAAGATTCTTACATAATAGGTCAGAAAATAGCGAACATGTTAGATACTAATTGGCCAAACTATTGATTTTTTAAACCCGTCTTTAGCATTTGCAGTTCTTTACATTACATTATATTACAGCAATTCCTTCATAAAAGCTAAGATCAATATATCGCATTCTATTTTAAAACTTATCTTGTTAACCTATTTTTCTGTAATGCTAATATGAACAATGATTATTTAGTGTATTCAAGAAATAATTATATTGAAATGACATATAAAAATGTAATACAATTGAAATTATAGTCACAATGATATATTTTCTGTTCTGATTTAAGAAAAATTGTGGTTCACCTATTTATTGCCCAGATCAAAGCAATTAGCGTTTTGAATTTAAAATATTACAAATAAACAATAGTTCTTACTATAATAAGTTCTTACTATTTGATGATAGCCACTTAAATATTTACTTCAATAATTGGGTAGTCATAAATATGCAAGAATTAATTGAATATACTATTTTATAACCAGGCAGATTTAAAAATGAAAATTGAAAAAGAAAATCAATGTTTAATCTATAGAAAAGTGGTAAAAACATCAACTATTTTTGACTTATTTCAAGACCAGTAATATTTTAATTAATATATATTTCACTTTCATCATCGTGAAAATCTATACCACTAGATGTAGTTCTTAAATTTATTCTTTTGTACTTTGAGTTTAGATGATAAATTACATAAATTCGAATAAAACATAGCAACTGTTAATAAATTATACATCAGCGCTCTATCTATGTTGATATTTAAATATATTTTGCCGATTATGGTAATACTTCTGCATTTATTTGTGACAAACTATGAAATTGATGATTCATTTTCATTTGATGTTAAAGTAAGTTGTGTTCTACGTCGGTCTGCAATGCCAAGGATGAGAGTTCCCAAAATGGTACCCCCGTATGGGACTGCGGTGGCACCAAGAACAGCTCAAAGGCGTTATAACAATAATACTGTCCAGAAATCAAATTATAACAATAATAACAACAATTCCAGCAGTTCGTCTAACGAACTTACATGTTTGGATTCGACTTTCTATGCTTCACCACGTGCTTGCTCGACGGTTCAGAGGCCGCAGAAGAAACGCAAAGTTTTCCTGGATCATTCAGTTTTCAATAACACCGAAAACAGCTCAGAAAACGATCTAGAGTATCATTCATCGTTTTCAAAAATGCTACAAAGATGTGTACTTGATACTGTTATGGAAAAGCAAATGGAAATTAATAGTTCTCAAAATGAAATGAAAATAAGTGTCTTGGAAAACGAAAGGAAACAAGTAAAAGCCAACACTGCGCAGTATTCTGAATTGTCCATACTAAGCAAGGAATTAGAAAAGTTAGACAAAATGTCAGAAAATTTGCAAGATTCTTTAAATCTTGTGGATGAGCAATTAGAGAATAATTTACGGGCAGTGATGATACAGGCAGCTGACAAACTGGAAACCAAAAATATTTCTGCAGGGTCTGATAACATGGAAATTGCATCCCTGTGTACCAGTATGAGGGAGTCTTTAGGTAAATTACATTCCTTTCAGACCACAGATAACTTGCACATTTCTGCTGAGAGTATTAAATTGTATGAAGACCACATTGGCAATTTGGATAAAATGTCTGAAAAATATGAGAAAAATTTGCAGATCTTGAACATGCTTGTGCTGTCCCGTTCTTCTCAAGAGATGCCTTACGAACAATAGTTTTTAACGATAATTATTACTAACTTATTATTTTCTGGACCGTCGGGGACGGACAAATTATAAATACTTTTATATAAATTGGCATTTTTATTAATAAAAATAAATTATTCATCTTAAGAAATATTTTAAAAAATAATAGGTAATATCAAATTTGAATGAATTAATTAAATATACTTCATGTTATATATTTCAATATTAAAATGAACTGAGTTTGTAGTATAAATATAAATGATAAAAATAATTAAGCAGTTTGCATTAAAAAAGTAATAATGTTTTTCCACATTTAAATATGCTTTCATTGAATTATTTTTAGAATACCAAATGCAATTTGCAAAGCAAATATGTACGCTCAAAACAGAACTAAAATTAATTAAGTTAAATATTATGTATTTAATATTTTCAGTCTAAAATTGTTTAATATTAATAAAACTATGCTTAACTTCTTAAAGATTAAAGAAATAATACATATTTTATTTTGCGATTTTATCAATATCATTTGTAAAATTTATTTAATTCGTACCACATGTTTGAAGATGTTATTTATAAATATACATTAGCAAACAAAATATATAACTTTGATTATAGTATATATTTATATAATCTCATAAACGACTAATCAGCGTGATAATATATCTTAAATGCAGTATAAACTCATTCGAATTATAAAAAGTGCAATTAACTAACAATACACTTCATATAATGCAGATACTGATATAAACATTGCATAAGAAATAAAAAGATTTAATGTTATATTAGAATTTTAGCCATAAAATCATAACATGGCATACAGAATTTAATTTTATTGCCGTTTGATAATAATAATAATATATTGATGGTGTAGTTTTAAATACCTATATAACGTTTAATTTATTTAATTTCTTTAAATAGCAATCAAGAGACAATGAAATATTATAGCTTTTGTTAAATGAAAAGAGTAAAAAAATAATAGAAAAGTCTTTAAAAAACGTTTAATAGTTGAAATCAGTGATTGATTGCTTATGTTTTAATTATTACTTTTTTAAAAACGATTAACATTTTTGAAAAAAATTTACTTCGAAAAAATTAGATTTTTGAGAAACTAGGAATTTGACCAAAAATTTCTTTTTTGAAATATTGAAAAATGTTTTCTTTATTTTGATATATTTTGGAAATTCTGAACTTTTTTCAAAGCAATCATACTGCTTTAACTGCAAAGAGACAATATGTCAAAGCGCATTAGCGCCGCCTCGCCGTCTAACAAATAAACATTGGTACGAAACCCAGAGGAATGTAAACAAAATTTATACTTATTGTTAAAATCTCTATAAAATATCTGATAATTTGATGTGCATATGTCTAATGATCATTTTTGATCGCCATCAAATGGCATTTTTTTTACTTTTTTTATTAGATCTCCGAAACCGCTAGACCTGCCTTTATGAAAATTTGATCAGTTCTTCATTAGTTTTCTTCACTTTTTTGAATTATTAAAATCGGACGCTCCGTTCTCTTAAAAACTGAGTTACCGTTTTTGGAACTTTATGCCCCGTATCTTCGGAACGGCTAGACCTGCCTTCGCCAAAAACTAATCAGCACGTCTCCTTATCAATATGAATCGAATGCTTTTTCAATTATTTAAATCGGTTGATCGGTGTTCCCGAAATTGTCGACGAAAATTTGTATTCGAACACACATACACACACGCACACATACACACACACACACACATACATCCATTTTTTCTGAGGTATGCCAAAATGTTCAGAAACCTTTGAAACGTAAAGATACATAAAAATTGTCATTTTCGATTTTTTGCGATTACTATAACTTGCCCTACGGGAAGTTAAAAAATATCTTACCATAGAAGTTCTATTTTTATTATAATAATAATATTTCATTTACTGTAGTGTAAAGATTAAATCAAAATCCGACCATCTCCGAAGACGCGACTTGTCAGGCATAATTGTAACTGGTCTTCGAGCAGAGCATGCCGATCGGGAGCCCCTTCTGACGGACACCGGAGCACCCTACGTTCTGGCCGATTCGCCCGTAACTCTGCGTTTGTTTGGAAGCGGATTTTCAGCGGAGACGACGGTTAGTTTCACACGAGATGCAAGAGAGGCGGGAGGTCACTGTCTTCTACCGGCCACTCATATGTTTACGGTAATAATCGAAAAATTTGGATAATTATATATACACATGAATATATTAAAATATCTGTTGCAAGGGGGCGTTAAGCTGTTTCCAAAATACAGTAAAAGCCCTTTAGTCCGGCACTCAACAGTTTGGAATGCCCGATAGTCCGCCATTTTTTTCCCAAAATTTCGTTTTTCTCTCGTAAATTTCTTTGTGTTTAGGGTTATAAACGAAGTATGTTCTACGAAATACGCAGCCCTTACTTTCTACGAAGGATTCTAAAGTCAATATAGATTTACACATACATATATCAATCAATAGATTTAACCACCTAACTGTGCAGTGACCATGTTTACTTATAATTATTTATCAAACAGCTAGAAATCATAAAATGTTTTTTCATTTTTTTAAATATTTAATATATTTATATGAATATTTTGATAAATTTAAAATAAGCTTTGTTGTTCGTATTTCCTATTAATTTTGTAGTTTAATTATAAGCCTAATTGTTTTTATAAAATCCACCCGATAGTCCGGAATTTTTGATAGTCCGGCACAGGAACAAGACCCGAGTAAGCCTGACTAAGTACTATTTTTGAACCAAATATTTTGAAATGATATAAAAATTATTAAATTAATCAGTTAAAAAATACAGAAGTCTGCAACAGTTTTCTTTATTAAAACGGGGCGAGCGCTGTACAAAAAGGTTGGAAACCACTGTTAATTGAGTCCGCTCCTTGAGCAGTGCTGGACATCGAATGCAAAATATGGGTTTATTGTACATATTTGAAAATCTTATTACTAAATTCTACTCCTTTAGTTAATATAAGTAGATATAACAGAATAAATTTAATTAAATATTATACACACAAAAGTGAAATTTCAAATTCTTGCTGATGAACTGATTTAGAAAAACATGGTATTATAGGCAGTGAGACCTTGCAAATCAATATTTTTGCTTAATATCTAAAAAAAAACGTCGGTCACTGATTTTAACAAAATTTTTCTTGTTCTCCATGACGAGCTCGTCAATCACAGTGTTTAATTATTATGAATATAAACATGTGTTATATAATCATAAGTATAAATATTACACGAGTTATTCGTGTAACACATTTCGATCATATTACAAAATGAACATCTTCATCAGGTATTTCGAAGAAAAACAATCCGTTGTTTAACATGATGACCACCCTTGATTTGAAAACATACCAAAAGAAATTCAATGCCAAGGCTTCTCATGATATAATAATCTTTTCTACATTTGGTTTAGTTATCTCGGGCGAAAAAATGCAATGTGGCATTTCTTATTATCACAATTAGTCATCGTTGTCTGTAAAATATGCTCATACATAGCTACAACACATACTCGGAGAATATTGAAAGTATAAATTTGTAATTACTGATATTTCATAATAATTTAATTACTACTGTTTTATGGTTTAATAGGACACATTTGTGAATACCGTAGCTATTTTGAAATATAAAGCATATTACTCTGCGATTGACGAGTATAATCGTCACGGTTCCATTCTGACGACATAAAAAAAATGAAATAAAAATTGTGCATGTTTAAATGAGAGCGCCGCAGTTAACTGGTTTAATATCAGCTGGCGCAATATCAAGTACGGCAGATTAAGCAAATATAATTATAATGTTTCAGGTTCTTCCAGAAGTTACTCATACTACTGCTTTAGTAAAAGCAATTCTTCCAGAAAATGGTCCTTTTTACATATGCACTCGCAAAGCAGCTGATGACGGCTTTACTCCTTTCATACACCAAGGATCTGACCCTTGGCTTTTAATTGATACTTACACTCGTCCAATTCCTTTATGGGCTTCCATACTGGTTATTTTGGTGTGTCTATTTTTTTCCGCATTATTTTCTGGCCTAAATCTTGGATTGATGGCCTTAGATCGAACTGAATTGAAGATCTTGTGTAATACTGGGCAAGAGGCTGAACGCCGTCATGCTAGGGTAATTCAGCCTGTGAGGGACCATGGAAACTTTTTGTTGTGTAGTATATTGTTAGGAAATGTTCTGGTGAACTCAACGTTTACTATTTTACTTGACGATCTCACTTCAGGATTAGTTGCAGTTATATTTTCAACTTTGGCTATAGTCGTTTTTGGAGAAATCACTCCGCAGGTAATAAAAATGATAATATTCATAATTTTAAATTCAGCAGATTTTTATTAATCTATCTAATCATAATCTATATATTTTATAATTTAGGTAATTACTTACTATAATTATGGTTTTGGTTTCCAGGCAATTTGTTCCCGGCATGGTTTAGAAGTTGGAGCAAGAACAATATATATTACAAAAGCTGTGATGGTTTTAACATTCCCTTTATCTTATCCAACTTCAAAGCTGCTGGATTGTTTACTTGGCGAAGAAATCGGAAATGTTTATAACAGAGAACGCCTAAAAGAATTAGTCAAGGTGATTAAGTACCCATGATTATTGTGCAATTGTTATGATTATATAAAAATTGCCATTCAGATTTAAATTTATATACATAATCGATTTTTCAAATCTCACCATAAATGAATTAGGTATGCAATTGCAAAAGATTTGTGTTCATTTCATGGCAATGAGATACAATTCACAGTTAACATCTATATAAAAAAAACCACAGAATTTCATGGAATTTATAATCGTATCATCTTACAAATTATACAATAATTCATAGATTTAATTGATTTTCAGGTGACTACTGACGTAAATGATTTGGACAAGGACGAAGTGAATATTATATCTGGAGCGTTAGAATTGCGCAAGAAAACAGTATCGGAAGTAATGACTCGAATTGAGGACGTGTTTATGTTGGATTATGAATCAATCCTTGATTTTGAAACTGTATCTGAAATTATGAAATCAGGTAACAATGAATTATATGATTAATAACAACGATTTTTATTCATTTTACTTTTTTGTTCAGGTTATTCGCGTATTCCCGTATATGAAGGCAATCGCGGCAATATTGTAACAATGTTGTATATTAAGGATTTGGCTTTTGTGGATCCTGATGATAATACTCCTTTAAAAACTCTTTGCCAGTTTTATCAAAATTCTTGCAATTTCGTCTTTGATGATGTCACACTGGATGTTATGTTCAAACAATTTAAAGAAGGTGAATATTTCCTTATACTTAAATGTTTCTCTAAGAAGGTGTTTATATTTTGGCCTGACAATTCGGTTTGGTGATTTTATGTTTTTTTGACGTTGCTAGTCATTCAGAATTGTTTTGAATAATATACGTGTGTGTATGTAAGCAAAAATTTGAATTTTGGTTGACTACTTCTCAAAAAGGCTGCATCGATTAAAAAAAATTAAGTCACTTGATAAATTTCATCTTCGCAAGTAATTCAGTAAATTAGTATTAGTTTGGCTCAAATTATTGAAATTTTAAGGAAATAAGGGACATATGGCTTTTGTACATCGCGTCAATAATACTGGAGAAGGCGATCCATTTTATGAAACCATTGGTTTGGTAACATTAGAAGATGTCATAGAAGAATTGATACAAGCGGAAATCATGGACGAAACGGATGTTTATAGTACGTGAAAATATTTGATTAATTTTTGATTATTTTTTTTTATTTGTGTGTATTTTTCTGTAGCCGATAACAGATCTAAGCGCCGAAGGCACAATCACAAAATAACCAAACAAGATTTTACTGGATTCGCGGAACGACGTGACAATCACAGGATTCATATTTCGCCTCAGTTAACTTTGGCTATGTTCCAGTTTCTCACTTCCAGTAAGCAACAACACTGTAATATTTGTTTGTTTAACATAAACCGGGAGAATATTTTTGAAATTTGCTACAGATTATTTTAGATCTGAAGCACATTCGCAATTTAAAACGATATCACACATACCTAGTAAAGTTTAAAACTTCTTGTTTTGTCGTTTTATACTTGATGCAGTTATTTTTATCTAATTTGGAGTACGTATGGTTATTTCAACCAGTTTATTATATACATATGTGTTTGTTTTATTTTTAGCTATCGACGCTTTTAAGTCTGACCAAGTGTCGGAAACTATATTGCGGAGACTTCTCAAACAAGACATCATTCATCACATCAAAATTCGAAACAAGGAAAAAAATGATGATGGAATGGTTATCTACGAAGAAGGAAAACCGGTGGGTATCCGAATTGAAAACAAATGCTTCCTAGAAGTGATTATTAGACACTGCTAAATTTTGCAATTCAAATTTTAATTCACAATATTACAGACTTTATTCTTATTTTACAAGTTATTTTTATTTATTTACTACTATAAATTGCATTGAGAAGTAGTACTCAATCGAAATGCGATTTTGTTCTCCGAAATCCGCGTTTTGTACATCTCACATATACTGAAAATAATTAGTTATACATGGTTATACCGTATTCACAAGCCTACATTTATTTTGATTTTAAAATATACATGTTTTAATTATTTAACTACTAGGAATTTCACTGTAAATTAGTTCCAAATCAAATTGTTATATTAAGTAGATACATAAAAAAGATGTTACTTTTCGAATTTTTGGTTTTCTTTCACCAAAGTACTGCAACTAATTAACTATATACTTTGTGAAGCTATAGGATATTTTAAGCTAGATTTTTAAATAATTTTGTTTTATGTTTAGATGGATCATTTTGTACTTATATTAGAGGGTCGTGTTGAGGTAACTGTCGGAAAAGAAAATTTAGTCTTTGAGAGTGGTCCATTTACTTATTTTGGTCTTCAAGCGATTACACAAAACATTGGAGTTGGTGAGCTATTTATTAAAAAATTTATTTGTAATATTATATTTATGGTATTTTTCTTATTTTACTTTATTTCAGCCGATTCTGTGAAAGGATCTATGCAATCGTTAAATATAGATGGTATATTAAAAAACAGTTTTATACCAGACTATACAGTACGGGCTGTGACTGACTTGGTTTATATTTCTATAAAGAAACCTTTATATTTGGCCGCCAGAAAGGCTACACTTTTGGAGCGCGCTCAGCGAGATAATAGCGCCAATGATCAAGATGTGGACCATGAAGTGGAAAAGGTATAGAATATTCAGTAAAAATGTACATTTTTTCAAATCATTATGCCAGCTTTATGTTAGATATAGATTAAACTGCTTCTATATTTTGTTGTTTCGTTAAAGTTGTTGCATTCGCTGGATGAAGAAGACACGAACATGACAAATGTCGAAATAGAAACTAATCACAAGTCAAACTCCAAAAATTTCTATGGCAATCAAAATTCTATAATGGTAATTCTTTACAAGTATATTTGTAGTTATATGTATTAAGTATTATATTTTTTTAGGTGTTACCGAGTATATTAGAACCACCAAAAGAATGTCATGAAAACACAGCTTTGCTTCATGATACGATTAATTCATTATGACACACGGTGTCTCATGCTATCTGATAGCATTACTTAAAATAGTGCACTTATTATTACTTAAGATGTCTAGCTTTAATCGTTTACTTATTTTTAATGAAGTACTTATGTTAATTTAAAGTTTTTAGTGCTTTGTTGACTATATATATATATACAAATGTTCCAGTTTTCATTACAAATTTTATATATTTATGAATTTTAATACATATAAGACTTCAAATATTATGCCAAAGCATTAATATTTGTTTTATTTACAAGGTGTTTACATAGCATATATCGATGCTTTTCTGACGCAACCTCGTATCTCAGAAACTACTACTTTTCAGGAGAGACAAAAAACGTTTTATAACGAATTTTTGAACTGCTGTTAACAATTTTTTTTATAAATTTCAAAAATATTCAATCTTGTGACAATTATTTGAGACAAGTATGATATTACAAACAATTAATCATTATTTTTTCTTCAATTCTTTGAGATACGTGTTTGTCGCACGGAAAAAAATGTAACATACGTGGTTGCGTCATGCTGTTTTCAAATAAGAGTACATGAATAACTTTCTTCAATTGTTTTATTTTGAGAATCGATCAACTTTTTAAATAATTCTTAATAAAAAAAAACAAACATTATTAAACTTGTGGTATATGTTAGTTTATAATTACGACAATATAGTATCTGGCCATAGTTTAGGTATTTCAATATCTAGGATATTTAGCTCTTTCATGGATTTATAATTTACTACTTTGTGATTATCATTTTTATTGTTACTTTTATTCTTTTTTGTTATTATTTCTTTATTTAATGATTTTTTATCTGCGGATGACACATTATCTAACTCTAAAAAATACAAAATTTAATTTCATTTATTGTCAGTAAGAATTGATAATTGTTTAATTTTTGTAGCTTACTGTGATATTTGTTCTCAACATAATAAAAATATAACTAGTGGTGCATGGCATCGTGCCTTTAAGCAAATTGGTGGAACTTCCCGTTCCGTAATTAAATAGAATCGAGGAATAATAAATGATTACAAATAGATTATTGTAAGTACTATAACTTTTGTTATTTGTATTTGAATGACAAAATATAAGAAGAAACTGGACAACGACGTTTATATATGTTTACATAAAAAGTAAATAAAAGTAAAAAAAAAAACATATCTCATATATATTTCTAAGAATTATATAAACTAATTTGCAAATTTAAATTTATTTATTTGAAGTATATAAGAGAGTTTTAGAATTTTAGCTAGCATTAAAATTAAAATCCGAATCATTTTTCATATTTAAACAAAGAAATAATTGTAAATTAAAAAAAATGGACAAAAAAATTCTGCTTTCCTAAACTAATCGATTCTTTATACTGCAAAATGTTCATTGAATCATTCGAATCGGAAGCTTTGAAACGACTGGGCCTGTCTTTTCCAGAAACTAATCACCTCGTCATCAATACAAATTGAATGTTTTTAAATAATTCAAATCGGATGCTCTGTTTTCTCAATAGGAAACGATTGTTTTTTGAATGTTTCAAATCGGTTGATCTGTGCTCCCGAAAACGTGGACAGAAAATTATATCCACACACACACACGCACACAAACACATACATCCATTTTATTAAGGTATGTCAAGATATTCAGAAACCTCTGAAACGTTAAATATGCAAAAAGTTTCATTTTCAATTTTCGGAAAATTACTATAACTTGCGGTAAGTAAATAATAAATATATTTATTAACTATCGTTCATTAAGTTTTAATAACAAATAACTTAATTGAATAATAATTTTTATTAGAAGGATTGAACTAAACAACATTGCTGACAGCGAAACTTGTTCATATACGCCACCATGTATTCTGAGATACGAGGTTGCGCATGGCACATTTTTCTGAATTGAGATACGTGATTGTATTTTTCTCAATAAAAAACGTTCGGTTGATTTTTTTTTTACAAAACTTCACAGATCTATGCGTCTATATTTAGTGATTGATTTTCCGATTAAAACTCAAAATCGTCAAAAATCGAGTTACGAGGTTGCGTCAGAAAAGCATCGATATATAATGCATTTTTAGATCATACTTTCCAAGGAACAAGAAATCACCAATGTAAGTGTCATATTATATTTTATCTACATAACAACTCTATTATGTTTAGTGCTCTAAAAATATAAAGATTTATATGTAAAATGATAAATTTACATCAGCAGGCAGTAAATCCTCCATCAAGAGGCATTGATGTTCCTGTAATGAGTGATGACTGATCGCTGAGCAAAAATAAAACAGCGTTTATCACTTCATCAACTTCTCCGAATCTGGAAAATCAATTGATTATATTTTATTTATCTTTTTATAATCAATGACAAAAATATTTTTTTTTTTTAATAATTACCGTCCAAGTGGTATCTTGGATAACATAGTCTTAGATTTTTCTGGGTCACTCCAACCTAAGCGACCCATATCAGTCATTATAACAGTTGGGTTTACACTGTTAATCCTGATGCCATGCCTACCAAGTTCAAGAGCAGAAGATCTGGTCAAGCCATCCAGGGCTGCTTTGGAACTGCAATAAACAGCATGGTCTGCCAGAGCTGCCTGGGGTGGAATAATTTAGAGGTTGAATATCAAGTATTAGTTGAAAGATGTATAAGTAATTTTTTTAATCTAAATACCTCACCATAGCTGCTTGAGAAGAAACGTTTACTATAGAACCTTTCAAATGATTGTCAATCATCTTTTTAGATGCAATCTGTGTTACATTCAAAGCAGCTTTTACATTTACAGAGAAAGTACTGAAATTTAAATAATTTTTTATTAAAAAAAAGATATTTTTAGCTTAGTTTTCTTCAATTAATTAATTACCTGTCGAAATCTTTCTCTTCCAATTCAAGAATAGGGCGAAGTACAGCAACCCCAGCGTTGTTAACGACTCCGTGAGGTGCAGGAAGAGATTCTAGGGCAGTTTTGGTCGCATCCCAGTCTCGTAGATCAACTGCCACAATGCATATTGAGGGCGCTTCCATTTGTAGTGTCTTAAGACGATCGTAACTTTTGGAAATAGCGACTACTGATGCATTCAAAGTGTTCAGGCGTAAACATAGTGCTCGACCTATGCCTGTAGAGAGGACAGATAATTCACGATGGGTGAGTTGAGACATATGTTTTCATTTTTATTTAAAACTTACAATCAGAACGTATTTTGAATTAGAAATTTAAAAAAAAAATTAATATCATAGTAATATTTATTATACACATCAAAGTGAAATATTTTTACCAAAATATATGTTAAATTATTTTTGTTATTTCTTCGTAAGAACTCAGGTTTCAATCTACACCTTAAGACCTAATTTTGCTATATCTGTAGGAGATTTGGTGACTTTAACACATTGCTATTACCAATAGAAAATGATACCTTTTGATATTAGGTTGTTAAATATTTCCCTTCCGCTTTTTTGCTCTTGGTTTATAATACAAAAAGGCGGAAGGGAGATATTTGACAACCTTATATTTGCTATGTATCTAAAAAGTTCGTTCTTCTCATATGAAGAGAAGAAAGTTGTCTTTCTCATATGACAACTTATATATAATTTATTAAATTATCTATTTTTCAAAAATTTATTTCTCACCAAGTTTCCTACCATATAGTTGGTAGAATTAAGCAAGTCTATGATTTTGAAGCCCGAAATTCCCTTACAATGAACCCTTACAATTAAGATACGTTGCATATAATGTGTACAAATATTGTCTATATATATATATATATATATATATATATATATATATATATATATATACGAGTATATATATATATATATATATATATATCAGAAGACTATAGAAAATATATAGACTCTAACTCTTACAAACTTATCCTTAAAATTTATTATAAAGAAGTTTCAGTTTTATAAAGATTACAATAATCATTTCAGTTTTATACAAAGACCTGTAATATTGAAATTTTATTTCAAAAACAATTTTTCATTGAAAACTAAATAAAATTTAAACAAATTTTTTATTTGATTTGTTTACATAAATTTTTCATTGAATACTTAAACACTTGAGCATATTTGCTTTTTTTATTAAAAATTTACCTGCACCAGCTCCCGTTACCCATATTTGTTTATTTTTAAAAAAATCTTGCATTTCAAAAAATATTTATGCACGTATGATATTCAAGATTTTTTACCAGCGATTAAGATAAGAATTTTGGACACCACTACATACAAATAACTCTTCTAAATGTACAAATTAAATCACATAGAAGTTGGAATCGAATAATATATTTCTTTGGAAAATCTATATAATAAATAAATATCTTTCCACGTATACAAGTATTTTCTATTAACTGTTCACAGTGCAGGCTTAATATAAGAATTTTATCGCACAATTTATATTGGTTTTATATACAACTTGACACATTGACATTGAATGTTTGTAAACCGAAACTGTAGATCGCTTTTGCTAGTGTTGTAGAAAAGAAAAACGTTGCTGTTTCGATATTCACTTGTTAATTTATTAAATCCTCAAATATTATAACACTTTCAATTTAATGCTCAATTCATTTCTTTCCTTCACTTACTAACTTTCCGAAGAAGTTTTTTTGGATAGCAAATCTGATTTGCTATTTTTATGTTTTCTTGACGTTTGGAGTCGTTTTAAATCATTTGAGACCAAAATCGGAAAAATTAGATTAAGCACGAAATATTTTTGCACAGTTGTTCTGAATTTTATGTTCCAGTTTGTAAAATGAAAGATTAATTTATAAATCGTTGCTTTATTTGTATTGCCTTGGAAGATCTTCATATTAAGAGACTATTCTAATTATATTATATATATATATATATATATATATATATAATATATATATATATATATATATATATATATATATTTAAAATATTTGTGAATAAACATTAGAGTAAGTTTACAAGTGTATGAATGTTTAATCACAATAAATTCTACATTAGTTATGGGCAAATAATACTTAACAGTTCATTAAAATTTTATGAATATGTTCGCATTTAATTAATATTATAAACTATACATAAAATTTACAACAATATTTCTTATTTATTTCTAGTCCAGACATAAAATACTATGCTTTCCAAGAAGTAACAATATTTAATTACGACAAATGTGTTGTTTTTCACGTTTTCTCATTTTAAATTCATGGAAACAGATTGCTTTTGCGATCTTCTATAAAGAAATCGGAACCATGAAAATTGGGATGAATGGGGTGTATAAATAATCATTATGTAAATACCATCGGTGAAGCCTTTTTCTGTACCCATTGGGGGTGTGGTTTAAGATTTAATAAACGTTGGCTATTGTTTGCAGATACTTGTATTTTTATTAGTTTTTTATTTCTTTTTTTGATTGTGAAATCTAAATCTTCTAAACGAGTTGTTGGTTCAGTTTACAAGGGAATTGCATTTATTCAGATTATTCTAAGAGAATGAATCACATGTATTCGAAATAATATTTTTATAATTAAATATCTGAACAAAAATGCATTCACGTATAAATATAAATATTTATATATATTTTTTTAATTTATATCGTACTAGTCGTTGTACTAAAATTGTTTACAAGCCGGAGTCCAGATTTATAATTGTGATTTTTTAAATTAATATTTTGTGAAAATATTGTATAATTACAAGTTTAATGTTTATAATACATAGTGTAGTGCATTACCATATCATGATACCATAGATTATTAAAATTTTCCAATTTAACACTAAGATTAACTAATTGTAAGTACTATTTACTATTTTTTTTTTTTTGTTCACTTCAATTCAATTGTTTTAGTTTTTAATTATATTTTTGTTTCCACTGAATGAAGGCTAGGATTATAGCCGAAACGTATGGATTTAAAATAAATTTTTGAAAGAAATTCATGTTTTTTATTGATGTTATGCTCGATTACCAGACTCCGTTAATACATATGTCAACATCAAATTCAGAATCATACAATATATATATATATATATATCGAATATATATATATATATATATATATATATATATATATATCGAAATCGGTTAGGACATGGACCCAGGTTCGCTGGTTCGATTCCCGCTACCGCCAAGCCTGACATCAGGCAACTTTGATGTCAAATTTCGACTTGGGGTTATAGATCACAATATAATTCCAAGTGCAAATCGTCCTTTGTGAACATAGTTGCATCATACAATCATATGCACACTATTAGACATAAGAGCTAATATATAAACCCCACACATAGGAAAAGGATGAACCGATGGGTTGCTTCTCATATCAATACCAGGTCATAAGTCATACACAAAAACAGCTTATAGAACAATAATAAAGAGTTCTGATTGCTGTGGACACAATATATATATATATATATATATATATATATATAAATATATATATACTACCGTTGTATATTTGGTAAAATGTATGAAAACACTTGTGAGTGTATGGGTACCTGAGTGAGTGAGAGTTTTCACCTGGTCGGCGATACTTGCGATTTAAATTGCCAAAGGAATGTCACATCATGGCAATGTCAGCTAAAAACTAAAAGCGCACAGGCTATTTTATTATCACCAGTCTTCAATTGTCCCTCGACCAGGGCGCTTCTCTCGAAATAAAATCATCTTGGGTTTAAATTTTTAAGTTAACCATGGGCTTTGTACACAAATTGGTAATAACGACTGCTTTGTTAAATGATTAAATAATTAAATATGGATGTTCACATTCGTGTAGGTTTAAACAGTGATTTAATCGAAAGATTCTGTAGTTTTGTTGATGGGTTTTAAGTGATACATATTAATTTTAAACGTTTATTTTTATTTTTAATAAAAGCAATAATTTATTATCTTTAACAGTCTTTAACAGTCTAACACGTTTCGTTTTACAGAAAATATAAAATAAAGATTTTAAATGAATTATGTTATTGGAAAATATTAAGATAAAGACTAGTTGGTTTGGTATTTAGCCTTGAGGCAAGTTACATGAACTTCCCGATATGTGTAATTAATCGACTTAATCAATAAAAACTAAATTAAAATATGAGTGATTAAAGTATTCCGAGTGGATTTATTACACATAATTGAAAACGAGCGACCACTTTGACACGGAGTATTTTCTAAAAGTAAATTTTCAAAAATCAACAATTGTTATAATTGAACCAGTTTCCATAGGACTTTAATGGCTTGATATGTTCATTAAAACCAAGTACTCTATCGTTATACGAAGTAAAATCGTCCAATTTTAATTTTAACAAACGTTAAAAAACTACTTATTTTCTTGAACTTTGATGATTTTTTTAAACTAAACTACTTGTCGTAGGGTCGTAATATTCCAATAAGTTGTATAAGACCATGATGTATATTATCAAAAAAAGTTTCATAAAAATCGGCTCAAATTTTTTTTTCAACAACGAATTACAAGAAAACGGCTCGGTAGATTTTCACCTAAAACTAATCAGTACCATTCCCAACTAATATCTTTCGAACGGTTTTTGATTTTTTTAAATCGGTTCGGTAGGATGAGCTTAAATGTGGACGAAAAGTTTAACACTTTTTTTTAAATTACAAACAAACGGCTTGGCAGATCGTCGCACAAAACTGACAAACGATAGTCCTCATCAAGATACATCAAATGGCTTTTAAATTTCTAAAATCGGTTCAGGCATTTTTGAGAAAACGTCGATGAAAGGTCTAATTTTGACAAATGCCAAAAAAAACGATGCCAAGTTTTGCAAACTTTGACGAATTTTTAAAGTTAAACCAATTGTCGTAGAGCCGTAATATTTTAGTATGATCTAGAAGACTATGGTATCTACCGTCAAAAAAATAATTATGAAAATCGTCGAAAAAAAATTTTTTAACACTTTATTACAAGAAAGCGGCTCGGCCGATCTCTACCAACAACTCATCAGCACGATTCCCAATCAATATCTTTCGAATGGTTTTTGAATTTTCAAGATCGATTTAGAACTGCGGGCTAAAACGTGGACGAAAAATTTTTCACTTTTCTGCTATTTACAAAGAAACGGCTTGGCTGATCGTCGCGCAAAATTGATAAACGCTAGTCCTCATCGAGATACATCGAATGGATTTTAAATTTTTGAAATCGGTCCAGCCATTATTGAGAAAACGTCGATTTACGGCAAAAAATCTGTTCACACACACACACACACACACACACATACTTTTTCCAGATTTGGTCTCATTCGATTCAGAATGGCTTGAAACGTCGAGAAAACATAAAATTAGCGAATCGGATTTTTTGATGAAAACATAAACTTCTCCTTCGGGAAGTTAACTAGTAAATTTAATGTAATGAACAAATGAATAAATACTTATATAATATGTTTTTGCAATATCAACTTATATTCTGATTTTTTTTCAATTTATCCTGTGCGCACTGTTGAGGAATAGAAACACAAAATAACTTAAAATTGTTTAGTTTTTTTTGTAACAATTTTGATATTGAAATTAGTGAAACACATTCAACGGGAATAGTAAACACATTAAACAAAAATGGGAGATGTTTTATTGAATCTTTATTATTTTCATACCTTTCGATATATAATCCTATGCTTTAATTTTTGTCAATAATAATTCATATAGATTGACTATTGTAATGAATGTTATGTGTACACTAGGGTTTATACAAAAACCGATATTACAGAAAACCGGTTTTCGAATTTTCATTTTACTAAAAAAACTGGTTTTAACCGATTTTATATAGAAAATAAATTTTTGCTCGAATATTCTGTAATTTATCCGCTGTAAAAAATTTAAAAATTTAGTGTAATTTAGAGTAGTATTTGTCTGAATTTATTTATTGTTCAATTTTATAGATAGTAAACAAAATAATTTTAATTTTAATTAGTAGAAACAAAAAATAATAGTTTATCTTGATTAAATAACTTTGAAAATAATTATTCGTTATTCATGCATCATTTTCACATATAAGAATGAAAATATTTTTATGATAGTAGGAAACTATTCGAATAAATAAAAATAATACATTTTATAAACAAAAAAACAATTAATTAAATAAAAAAATAAAGATATATTAGATACATGTTGATACATACTTGTTACTATCAATTTTAGTTTAAAAACAATTAAGCTAAACTTTTATTTCTGTTCCGAGCAATTTTAATTAATTAATTTTAAATATTTTAATTATTTTTTGTTTAATAAAATATGATTTAAAAAAACTGAGAACGTATATTGAATTGCTACTTAGACGTGTCCTTTGTTTACGCATAAAATTTCCTGAAATAGAAAATACTCTCATACTTGTAATAATTCTAAATTTTTTGTTCTTTAGTTTGTGGCTTCTAGAGTTTAAAACTCTTTTTTTTTTTTTTTTTTTTTTTATTTATTTATATATATATACATTATTTTCATATCTCAGTCAGGCAGAGTTGCCTGGTATGAGAGATTATGAAAATAGTTTTCATATAATATATACATTTCATTTGACTATAATATCTATTTCATTAATATAATATCTATATATAACTAAAAATATCTTTATATATATATCTCTTCAGTCTTCTTTGTCTTCAATTTCCTTATAGTGTTTTTTTATTTTTCTTTTAAGTTTGAGTTACACTCAACTTCAAAACTCTTTTTTCAAGAAGAAGTTACACTGATTTAAATTGATACATACACTGGTATAAAAATCTAAATTATTATATTAGGTTTTCAAATATCTCCCTTCCGCTTTTTTGCTCTTTATTCAATGCAATTCAAAAGACAAAAAGGCGGAAGGGAGATATTTGACAACCTAATATACAAAACCTTTCTGGGAACCATTGCAGACTGATAAGATATCAAATGCTATTGAAACGATATGATTTCAAGAATCAAAACGCTTTCATCTATCTGTTATATTTGGCGATATTTGTCATTTTCCATTTATACAGTGAAAACCGTTTTTTTTACTAAAAAACCGGTTTTCGAATTCCATAATTTTCGCCAAAAAAACCGGTTTTTAAAACCAATTTTTGAAAACCGACAAACCCTAGTGTACACCCTCTTCAAACATTGATCGTCAAACGCATTGATCATCCTAGGTCCTCGACAAATGTTTATTTTTATTTCATGTAATTTTAAAATGTTTCTTTTTGTGATTAGATTTTAGCAATCGCGTTCGCGATGTGTTCGTCGGCGGAAACTCGTATCACGAAGCTGCATCCACTAATTCCGCTACAATCAATATCCCTGGCATTAGACTATATGCTACAACATCCTGAATATCTGAATATAGATAGCATTTTCGGAGTTACGATAGCTGAAGGTAACGCACATTTATATCAAATATCAATATATATACACCCACGGCCGGTCCTGGTGTCCCCAGCGCCCGCATGCCATTTTTTTTCTAGCGCCCCCTTTTTATTTTAACTGTTAATTTCTTTAAATACTTTTTGATAATTCTGGATTTAGTACACAAAAAATTATTTTCAATTTATTTAGAAAATCTCGATTTTAGTGTTGCTCGTAATTACACTACCGAACTATTTTCAAATTCTTATTTTCAATTTAAATTTTTAGTACATTCAAAAATTGCAGTAGGTTCATTATTGCTTGCAATTATTTGGATTTTGAAACATTTTGCTTATTAATTCCATTGAGCAAATCATAGAGAGCAAAAAAATTCTTGTTTCTCATTATTAAACATAACACTGGTACTTCATGTTGGATTATTTTATTTTAATTTTTCATTGTTTAAAATATCTACAATTGCATCGTAAACTGCTCCTAATTGATATAGTAAGGGCCGAAGTGTATGTATTTATCTATACTTTCTCCTCGAGTATAAGATTTTTGTTTTGAAGTTAAAAAAATATTGTCTAAGATTAGTAAAAGATGCAAAGAAATTATATTTTTTTAAAATTATATTGAAAAAACTATATTATAAATTTCATATACGAGCTCGTTTTGGCGCCCCCTAAGGCGTGCGCCCGCATTTTTTGCATGCATCGCATTCAAGGTAGGACCGGCCCTGTATACACCATTACCTCGGTTTTTGTGTTTTGTTTTGCGATTTCTGGAAGTTGCGTCGCTCATTAGTTAGTTTGCAATTTATTCATTCATTTAATTATTTTATTTTCACATTCTTCTTCAAGCTTTTAAACTTTTTTTTACGCAGTATTTATAGTTAGCAACCCATTGGTTAATTTATCTATATATTTGATAGATTTTTTATTATTAGAATTAATTCAGATTTAAAAGTGATCATATACATTTTCTGATTTTTCTTTGATGTAACTCTCTTAAAGTTTTATCATATATATATCTTAATATACCTGACAGCCCGTTTGCGCAATATCGATCACCACCTTTCGAATTTGGATAGTTCTAAAAGTTGGACAAGATCTCTATTGCAGAATCTGATATCATCCTGTAGCATGATAAGAAATAATATGATGAAAATGGCGCAGAAATCTGCAGATGATGATGACAAAAGTAAGTTAATAATTAAACTAACTAAAAATATTATACATGGTTCATGGATAGACATAAAAGTGCTTGAATATAGTCAATTGTTGACATGAATGATTGCAATCATTCACAGATATAAATCGAACAAAATAATACAGACATTGGGTGCTTCAACAATACCTCAAGTCAATTTATTAACTTCCAGTAGGGTAGTTATAGTAATGGGCCGAAAATCGAAAATGCAAATTTTTGCATTTCTCGACGTTTTGAAGGTTTCTGAACATTTTACTGGCATACCTCAGAAAAAATGGATGTGTGTGTGTGTGCGTGTGTGTACGTGTTTATTTTGTATGTCCGCATTTTTTGCCCACGTTTTCGGGCGCATGCATCAACCGATTTGAATGGTTTAAAAAACATTCGATCCCTACTGATGATGATTAGTTTTTGGCAGAAGCAGGTCCAGCCGTTACGGAGATACGGAGCAAAGAGTGCAGAAAATACAAATCGAGTTTTTGAGAGAACGGAGTATTGAATTTGAATGATCTAAAAAACATTCAATTTGTAATGATGAGGTGATTAGTTTTTGGCAAAGACAGGTTCAGCCATTTCGAAAATACAGAGCTATATGTACAAAAAATGGCTGTTTTTGAGAGAACTAATCGTCCGATTTGAATGATTCAAATAACTTTCTGCTTGTTTCAACAAAATAATTGCTTTTGGAAAACAAAAATTTTGTTCCATAATTATTTTTTTTCAAATTTTTTTGTAAATTTTTTTTTTTTTTGGTATTGAAAATAATTGAGATATTAATTTTAATTCGTACTAAAGTTCTAATATACTTTAAACAAATAATTTTAAACTTACTTACTTATTTTAAACTTTAAACAAACTTTGCAATTCAGTTTATATAATTCTTATTAATTTGCCTTAAGGCACGATGCCAAGCACACCACTAGTTTTAGTTTGTATTGAACTTAATAACATATTCTGGTAATTAGACTTTAAACTTGAAAAATTAGATTTTTAACTTAATAAAAATAATTAATAATTTGTAAAAAGCATATAATGATATTAATCAGATGAATTCGGAACATAGAACGAAATTTTTTGTTCGATAGTTGCATATTGATAGTTATATTAGCCTATTCTTTGATTTATTTTATACTCTTCTAATATAAAAATAAGCCAAATAAAAACTGTAGGTATAAATATATTTAACTTAAATAAATAAATTAATTATCTATTTTCTAGTTTTTAAGAAGTTGCTTGATCCAAGTCTTTGGTCAGATGATATATATCCGAAGAAGTTGTCTTTGACAGAAGATAGAAACAATTGGAGTATTAAAAAGATTCGGGCGCACATGTTTGCAGGCAGTCCTAATGAAACAACATCGGGTAAAAGTTTCAATTATTTTATAAAACAGTATTGATAAAGTTGGTAGATATTAATTATTAGATATGTATTTCATGTTTATTGGCCTCTGACTAACTATCAAGATAGATGGGCAGGTTTCAAAGGGCAAAATGCATCTATTTTTTATATTATTTTCACCTAAAACTGAAAGAAATGTTTTGTACTTTTTAAATTATAACAAAAGATTTTGAATCAGATAATTGCATAATTGAGATGATTTTAAACGCCCATGGATCATTTCATGAACATCTATCAACAAAATATAACAATTGCTCTATAAGTGAACACTGCGCTCAAATTATGATAGATGGATCAGTTTCCGGTTACCCTTTGACCCACAGGTGAAAAAAATAGGTTTAATTCATAATATTTTTTAAATATGCGATATAATGTTTATTATTTACAGTGCATGTTCTTTTTAGATTATTGCATTTGATAATCAGCAAAAGATTGAGATGCTCCTTCAAATCTGCTTCACAAATTGGTGTAAATTCTTCTGAGATATGTTCCTTAGTATATTCAGAATTGTTTGCCATTTATAAGAACAGAATACCAAGTTTTGCAAGGGATCTGTTTATTGAGCAAAGTAAGTAATATTTTATTTCATATAAATAGTTCATTTTTCCAATTAAGGGGCACACCTAGTGTGAAAGTTTCAAAAAATCAAATTTTAAATTTTTCCATATTTCGATAGGTTATACCTTTAAAAATGAAAATTTCAAATCGATATCTTAAATAGTTTTGAGTTACAGCCATTTAAAAAAGTATATATAGTATATAGTACAACGATCATTTTATCTTTAAACGCGTTTTTCTCGAAACGGCATTTTTCGAATTTGCTGGAGTGATTACTCGGAGGCAAATCATCCGATCGCTATCAAAATTTTTTTTGCATCTCCTCTCTATATAGTTCTCCAGATGATGACTCTCCAGTTTTTTGATTTGGCCGAATTTTGGCTGGCCAAAAACGAGTAAAATTTTGGGAAAAAATTAACTTTTTTTTCAACATGCCGCCATTGTGTCAATTTTTTATTTTTTTTGTTCGCCCGAGGGTCATCGTACACACAATAGCGGCATTTTTCAACAATTTTAGTTTAACGAGATTTTCTACGGAGAAGGCTGCAATCCAGCAGTGGAGGACCTTTTTTTTGGCGCCGCCGCAGATTCCGTGTCATTTCAAAAATATTTAATATTTTATTTCAAAAATTTTACTGCGTATTCTCAAAACATGTATAAATATACCCTCAAAACTTTAAATAGATGGATTCACTAGCTTTTTGTTTTTTTTAATTCCGGTAAATGACCTTTTTAGGCTGTTACACTGGGTGTGTCTCTTAAAGGTAAATGGCATTTTGCCTCAAGGCAAGTTGCATGAACTTCCTGATATGTGTAAACTATTGGAGATTTGAAATTTTGCAATATTAACTTCACAAAGAAGAAGTTTAAGTTTTTGCCAGCAAATCTTGCAAAAATCCGAACAGGCAAATAATAAATTGAATTTTATTTAGTTTTGCTGTGTGGAATCGAGGGATATGAAGAGTTTTTCCACGTGAACTATATGAGGGCTGTAATAAATTGGCAGAGCAATTTAGGATGTTGGGGTCCTTATACAAATCGTATAGCTTTACAGAGGAAACGTTATAGGAGGAAATCTGGTCCAATGACTGACGGATGTGTAAATCATATCACAGGACTTGCAACTGCAGCTCTGGCTGTATACATAGATTTAACTATTTTAGAAATGTATTCATAATTTATACTATTGATGTGTATAAATTCATAGTTTTGTGGCATTTTTTATGTGTAAGTTATACCTGTGATTTGTTTTCATTTTTGAATTTTTCTTGGAAACAAAAATTAAATAAAAACTATTTTTTATGGATTCCTAGATTTCAAAGTTCGAAAATGTTCGGACCACTTGTATAAAATCATGTACTTGAATTGAGTGAAAAATCATTGACTTTTTTTTTAACAAGATTGAAGTGAGTGAAAAATGTAGATGTTTTGACAAGTTTTGATTTGAGTGAAAATGTAGATCATTGACAAAAATAATTTCGAAAAAAATATAGGAAAAAAAATATTCGAAAAAAATTTTTTGGCAAAAAAAATTCGGTAAAGTTTTGAAAAAAAAATTTAAAAAAAAATTAGAAAAAAATTTGGAGAAAAAAAAATGCTGAAAAGAAAATTTTAGAAAAAAAAAATTTAAAAATGAGGATGTTTTGATTTGAATGAAATCCATGAGTTTCTGACATGAAAGATTAAAGGAAAAAATGTGTACGTTTTTACTACGTTTGAAATAAGTAAAAAGCATGGATAATATCCATAGACTTTTTGACATGAAAGATTGAAGGAAAAAAATCGAAAAAAAACTTTTGGCAAAAAAAATTTTCGAAAAAAAATAGAAAAAAAAATTAGAAGGAAAATTCGAAAAATAATTGAAATTGTATGAAAAATGTGATGCTTTGACACGTTTTGATTTGAGTGCTCGCATTAAGACTTTTGATTAGTTTTAATTAATTTATGCATCAAAACGTGTAATTAATTTAGTAGATCAATTTGATATAATAAATTTATCGTGAAACGTTAATTAAAAGCCAAGAAATGGGTGTGTTTGGAAGTGCCTAGCTGTACCTTGAATAGTTTGATAAGTGTTTCTTTCAGGATCTCAATTTTGAAACAATTTTATAATTAAACAATTTATTTACAGCACCAATGTATCCTTTAATTATATACATGCAATTATCAATAGTTAAATTTATATATGTGCCTTTGTATATTTATATATTTTATACTTGTAGTCCACCACATATCTGTTAAAATAGAATTTAAAATTTACAAGAGTCTCTAATGTAAGTCGTGTGTCCTGTGTTGTGTAAATACTTTACTAGAACAATTGCAACATATCGAATAGACATGTAAAAGACAAAGTTATATAGTGGTTCTAAAGTAGCGATTTTGTGTCGAGTGCTTGAGATTTCTGGAAGGACATTCTGCGAGTGCATCCGACGATCGCCCATCAGATTCCGAGTCAAGATCAAGGGGGATGCTTTGACCTCAGTATATGGTACGCAATGGCGTGGTCAAGGACAGGGGATTATATGTATAAATGAAATAATAATAATTGAATATAATTAATCTAAATAATTTCTTAGTTTTAACATTATATTATTTATGTTATTAATAATATGAACTATTGTTGAATAATACGAATTTGTTATTATTATTGCGAATTTAAATAATCATATACATTTTTGCACGTAAGAGAGGGATGTTAGAAATTTGTTGTATATTTTATTTAATTAGTAATTAATATTTTCATTTCATTTGTATAATTTTAATGAAATAAATTTATGTGCGTATTAAAATTAGCACATGTTGTTTTATTAATTAATTTTATATATATATATATATATATATATATATATTATATATATGTACTTGATAATAGAAATGGAAAGAAAACTAAACTTAACTGCTGTACGTTGATACTAAAAACTATGTTACCAGTCTATATAAATATATGTTCTATGCTCTATGTTTAATTTCTGTTGTAAATATGTTAAAATAAATCAACAGTCTGTGTCTGTGCTGTCTGGGACTTTGTTGAACAAGTTACTATAATAAGTTATTATAATAATAATTATCCATGTCGCAAATGTAAATAGATTTAAAGTTAAAGTGTACTGTTTTGTGATCAGGTAAGTACTAAATAATGTTTTATATTTTAATTTTAAGGCAATGTGGTTAATGTTTATGAATTCATAAATATTTTGACAAAACTGTTGGGCATAATTCTAATCAATATGAATAATGTTAAATACATTTTCAACACATTGTAATATTATATATTATAATAAATTATATTGATTTAAGTCCGAAACAATTTTTAATACATGAATTTGTTACTTTAAACGTCAGAAGTGAATTATATTGTAGAAATGTCAAACTCAAACGTCAAAATTTTGTTGACAGTTGTTTTGAGGTTAAAAATGTCTGTTGTGACAGGTTTATTTTCAAATGTGTTTTAAAAATGTTAATGAATTAAAGAAATGTCTAATAATTAAGTGAATAGCTCAGGTTTAGTTAATTTTGTCTTACTTTTTTAAAACTATTCAAAATAAGAAATATTTCAAAAGAGGAAAATACTTTTTTCATTGCTCAAACAAAAAGTGTGCTATTTATACAAGGAAATAAGTTTTTGAATGTTTTCTTTGAAAACAAATATTAGTGTATTAATTTTTATACTAATAATAGTTAATATAAGTACAGTTGTTATTAATAAATCAATATCTACATCACAAATGGGTCAAAAATATATATGCTCTTTGTAAGTAATGTAAGTAATCTTTTGAATCATAAGTGATAAAATACAAATCATTTGTTTGTCCAATGTTAATGAAATATTTAGGAAGTTTGCACAAAATTAAATTATCTATATTTTGTTAGAATTTGATACTTCTACAGTAACTCGATATACATTAAAATGTCAGTCAAAAGAAGAACAATGATTTTAGCAAGCTAACAGCTGTTTCATTCATGTTTTTATTAAATACATTTTACTAAATTTGAAATACTTTTGCATATTTTGATTAATTTTTAGTAATTAGCAATATGCGACATTTACAGTTATATTTTTTTACAGTTTGCAAATAACTTAGAAATTTTGTACCGGACACTCTCATTTGTTTATTTTAGTATAAACTTGGTAAAATTTACTAGAATTTAGTATAAATTGTTTTATACACTTGGATATCAACATTTTGAATAATTTGTAGTTGAAATGCGAATAAGTATCAATATGTGAGGTCTTATCAAATAACTTGGAAATTTTGTTCTAGTCGAAACGCTGACCTTAATATTTTTCTAATTTTCAATATTTGGTTGTAGGAATTTTTTTCACATTTTGTCAAATATTTTGAAAATTTTATTCGGGACACTTTTATTTGTTTATTTTAGTATAAACTAGAGAATTTTAAATATGTGCACTTAAATTTATTTACATTAGTAAAACCTAGATAAAATTTACTAAAATTGAGTTTAATAATTGGCTATAATTGATTTTGGATATTTTTTTTTATATTTTGTCAAATAACTTTAAAATGTTTTTCCAGGCATATTAGTAAAAAAATATATAAAATTCAGATTAATAAATTATAAACCATATTAAAACCATAGACTGCTATTCACGCTTTTGTTTAAACTACTATTTATGGACTCAATATAGAAAAATGATATATCAAATTATTAGGTTAATAAAAATGATTTATTATTCGGCTGTACTTACACATATTTAATGTTACTAATCTAGTATTAAGTAACATATAATACTATTTATGATGTATATCCTCAGAAGAAATGTTATTCTTATTACAGGTGCTTATGACTTATAAGAATGCCTTAAAAAGAACTTTACAACCTGGGTCTCCCCTATAGTAGAAGGAAAATATAATCGACAACTAATTGAACAAAGTCTTTTTGATGAAATGGACGAAATTATCCTGATTGATGAGCTTCAGGGCTTCAATGGCACACATTGCAAAACAACGAAATGTTTTGAATGATTTCAAAAGATTTTAGGACTCTGATTTCAAAAATGCTATCCTTTCTTGGATAGATCCATCTTTGAAATCTTTGATTGGTTTTGATAGATTTAGAGTCGATGAATTTGAAAATGTTATATATTTTTGGATTGTCGGATTCGAACCAGCTTCCTTCGGGTTGGAGTCTAGTTTATCGCTCTAACCGATTCGGCCACGGCGACCAAGATTGTCCGACGACAAATACTGGAAGGACATTCTTCGACGACCGACCATCATGATTCGGCTCAAGGTCACAGGGGGATGATATGAAAGTATTAAATGTTCACCCTGGGGGTTGAAAGTGGGCTCATTCGATTCTGTGGGTCCTTGCGAATTTCAAGCGGGGGCTTTCAGGGGGGAAAATTTCGTCCGTTTTTCGCTCAGGAGACGAGAAAATCGACTTTTTGTAAAATTTCGCGATTTTTGTATGGGAATTTTTCGAAAGTTTTTTGCTGGCCTCAAAGATTCGGTCAAGGTCATTTATATGTGGTCAAGGTCAAAGAGATTCATATAAACGACCTTGACCGAATCTTTGAGGCCAGCAAAAATCTTATATATATATACATATACATATACACATACATATACATTTATATTTATATATATATATATATATGCATATATATATATATATATATATATATATCATGCCGATTTTTGTAATACTGACACTCAATAAATTTAATTATTTATCTATATATCTTATTCATTTACACAGTAAGAAAAATTATCGAACTCATATTTTTTTCAGATAAATTAAGGGTTCGATCTGAGGAACCTCGAACTGCTATTCTGGCCTAAGCCGTATCTTTACGGCCTCGGCCATTCGCACATTTGGCATGCAATTTTTTATGAAACTTATATCTTTCAGTTTGAAAATAACACTTTATATTTTTACAAAAGACTACGGTTTTGTAAAACCAATTGGCCGAGATCGTTAAGTTGCCACTACGGTTGCTCAGCGTGTCTTGGTTCGATTCCAGAAAGTACTTGAAAAATCAGATGTATAGTTTTTCATAAATATCAAATATTAGTTCAAAATATTAAATTCAGGTGTCGCATTTCGACCTTGACACTTAGAATATTTCTGAAAAACTCAAGCTTCGCACTTGACTGTAAGAGAGGTACATAAAGCGAGAGATGACGATGGTACAGGAAGAACCACGGGAAAGAG